TTCCGCCTTGCCCAGCCAATTGTTGGAACAAGAGCCTTATTTGTTGGAAAAATTGGATGCCTACTACAATGCCCAGGCTTATAAATGTACCAAATCGTTGGCGTACTTACAGCCAAAGAGTACTACCACCAAACAACAAGCAGAAACAAGCAATAGTGCCGTGGTGGAAGACACCACCACGGAGGTACTGATGGACGACGATGACAACCATTTCGAGAATCTCGAACAAGAAGACGAAGAGTTGATCTCATTCTTGAAAAGTTCGTTGGAAGATGCTGGATTCAAGCCCCTCTCGCAACGTGATTTGGATCTCTGCGATGCCCTCAACGTTGGATATTTGCTCCGATTGTCCATTGTGGCCGACTTGGAACAATTGGATCCAGGAATTGCCAAGGAATTCTATCCAGAACTATACAATAATGATGATGAAGGCGACGAGGGAAAACTTTTACCAAATATGGAGTCTGAAATTTTGTTTGGTGGCCGTTGTCTCGTCTTTTGGCGGGGGTACTCGCAAGAGGTTACGACTGGTCGTCTCATTCTTCCCAAACTAGACTATTTGCAAACCAGTTTGGTCAGGAGATCCGCTGCCTGGGTCAAAAGAAGGCTCGACTTTGTGGAACAAAAATGGCTCCATAAGGCCAATCAACAATCCAAAAAAATCAAAAGCAAGATTGAAGACTGGAAAGACAGCGTCATTCCCAAAGAGTTGAGAACGGAACAAAATGACGAAACAACAGAATCGGAAATCAAATCCTTGTCGTCATCGAGCAAAGGAGGAGTCCTTGATTTGGGTCGTTATGGAGGATCTGGACTGCGCTTTGTGGGATCTCCGGATCCAGATGATGCCTTGGATCCATTCATGGTGTGTGAAATCCAAGACTTTGACGACGACACAACGCCACCTGCTGCTGCAACCAATGGAACTGCACAAAACGGCATGAATGCAGCAGCAGCAGCTACAACGACAGTGATTGATGCCGATGTGGAACATGATTTGTATGAAAAGCTGAACCACCAAGGCTATCTTTGCGAGTACGACAAGCAAGTGGAGGGTTCTTTGGCGCCACGAATAGGAGGAGGAGGGGGAGGAGGCTCGCCTCACAATGCTGCTGCTTACACACCGCGTGTCCAACTGCTCGAAAGAGTGAGTATCAGCAACTTGGTCAACATTTTCACAAAATATGGCCGGCGAACGTTGATTTCTACCATATTTGGAAAGTCGGAACTTGTGGAGCCAACCTTTGAAGAGGTAAGTTTTGATATTTTCTCTAGTCCTGAAGTCCAAGAGTCATGCCATTCATTGCTAACGCACAACCACTACTACTCGTGAATGATCAGGTTGTCGTTGTCTGGAAACCATTGCCAAAAGAGACGAAACGATTCTACCCTCCAAAGTTTGTGAGCGATCTGGCGGATATCTTTGACATTGAAGGCTTTGAACAACCTCCGAAACGGAAAAATCAATCCTTCACCAGCAGTCTGAAAATACGAAACTTTCAAGGAGTACCAATGTCTAACATTCAAGGTGTATTTCCAAAAACAAAGCTGGTGTTTCGTCCGGCCGATGCCCTCCTGTTTGATACTATTAGTATTGCAACTTTTGCCCTTGTTCTTGGATCCATCCGTTTGGACAGTCCGCGACTAGATCTATTGGCCCTCATCTCTGTGGGATTGTGGATCTTTCGAACGGTGATTCGGTACTCGAACAAGTTGGCACGGTACGATTTGTTGGTCAAGAACTTTCTAACCTCCAAAATATCGCATCGGAACGAAGGAGCATTGAAATACCTCATGTCGGAGGCTGGTTTGCAACGTGCAATTCGATCTTCCTTGGTGCTATCGTGGCTGGAGGATAGATTCAATGGCACAGAAACACAGACACAGAGTGATGACTCGGATCTTTTGAGCTGTTGTATCGACGAAATCAACCAAGCACTGAATATTGAAGCGGAGGTTGAAATTGACGTGGACCGGGCATTGAATGATCTGAAAGATTTAGATTTGGTTCGGTTTTCCATCGAGACTGGATGCATATCAGAAGTCACCAACAGCACCGAAAGTGCCATTCGCGTAGAGCAAGCTTGGTCCCAACTCCTACTCGATCGCAATGCAGGAATGCCACAACGGAAGAAGAAGAAGCAAGACAAGGAATCGGAGGAAGGACAGAGTGACATTGCCAATATTATTGCCGCAAACCTACTGACGAGTCTCGAAGAAAATCGGGGTCCGATCCAAAAGGCCATCAAGGCAGCACGAAAGCAGGGTTACTCCAAAATGAAAGAAGTAATCGAAGATGACGACAATCGAAAGCGATTTGAATCTGCTCTCCAGAAAGCAAAGATGAAAGGATACAGGGGCTACACCAAAGTGAAGGATCTGATCAAGGACAAACGAAGTATGGACCTTGTCGAAGACGCTCTCCTCAATCTCCAACAGATAGGCACCGATGAAGATTCGGATTCCAACGGTGGTGAAGCATGAATCTAGCCGAGTATATTACAGTGCCTAGCTAGAAACATAAAGCAGTACACAAAGTAACGAAATAGTTTCCCACTAGTTATGATTCAAAGCAACTATGCGGGAATGTTGGAAGCCAGTCACCTCTTTTCAGGTGTCACAGACTTTACGACGAGTTCTTGTGCTGCTATGAGCGAAACGGGTCGAGGGGCCATCTTGATCAAGGCAACTGTATCACCCCACATTATATTGGTAATTGGTCGACGAATATCCACACCAGCAGCCTCACGAATAATATCTCCCACTTCAATAGCCCCTTGACGGGCAATGGGTGATCCAGGAACATCTGGCGAAACATCAATGACTCGCACAAATCCGTCGGGTCCACGGTTTAGCTTAATTCCCAATGCTTCCGATAAAAAGACAATCTCGCGTTCGGGTCCAAACCTAATGGGTTCCGCAGATTGTGGTGATTGTTGTGGCCAATCCTTTGGCATGGCACGTACATTTGGAGTTCGATTCAAGGCCTGCAGAGAAACGTTAGAACATATATACTTACTAGTAAAACCATCATTCAATGTGGACCAATGGCCTTGACTTACCTCTTCGCGTGGAACAAATCGTGGTGGCTTCAATTTTGGGATAGGTTTTGCTGAATACGACTTTCCGGCGACTTCTTCTGACCATTCACCCTCTTCCCTTGCTTGTCTCAGAGCTTGTTGCGCCTTTTGTAGGTAAGCACGATCAAACATACTCAAGGATTCTCCTTGTGGCAACATGTCTTGACATTCTCCAAAGGCGTCAATGGAACCAGCAAAATCTTTCATGTAAAATAGAGACTTTGCCAAAGTGGAATAGGCTTCCGGCGATTGTTTGATTCTCAGGGCCAGAACAGCATCCATCTTGGCACTTTCGTGCCTTCGACTTCCATTCAACGCATGAGCGCGGCCCAAATGCAAGTCAGGAGACAGGTTAAAATCATCCGGAACCAAAAACAAGGCAGCCGTGTATTCTTCAATGGCGTATTTGTAATTCTTGTTTGCCAGATACTTGTTGGCCCGTTCTTGAATGCGAAGAGCCTCGTCGAAATCTGGATCTTCGCCCCCTTCTGCTATCGCCATTGCCATGATATTTCCATTAGCTCTCATCCCCAATCCTTGAATCATGGCAGTGGACGCATTGGGATCGGAGGCAATACTCGGAGCCACGGTGGGTTGGACACTGGTATCTTCCGTCAAAACAGAAACCTCATCACCGCGTTTCGATCGAAGTGCCTTATCTTGTTGTTTCTTCAATTTCAATCTTGCCTTTTCCAGATAGGTAGTAGTGATTGGGTTGTCTGGTTCATATGTAATAGCGTCCTGATAGGCACTAACAGCTCCTTCATAGTCCTTCAAGAAATACAACGATTGACCCAAACGAGCATGCGCTTTTCCAAAGGTAGGGGCTAGTGCAATAGCACGTCTGGCATCAGTTGCTGCAGCAGAATATCTCTTCAAGGAAAGCAAAGCAGCAGATCTATTGGACAAAAACACGTGCGATGATGGACCCACAGGGGACAATTGAAGAGCCGCGGAATAGGCATTGTATGCTTTGTTATATTCCTACAAGAGAAAAAGAAGCAATAAGATGAGCGTTTGAGCTCAAAAGGCAGATTCACTTCAAAGCATATCTCAATATGAAAGATCTTGCAACCATAGTTTCCATTCGGAACCAAAAAAACGTTTCGTACCTGAGCTGCCATGTGTTTGTTTCCCAATCCTTTCATTCGTTCCGCTTCGTTGTGAAGATCTTCTAGTTGCGCCAGATCCATCAAAGCTTCATCTCCATCAGTGTGTTCAGGTCCTCTTGGTCCTGGAGAAGGAGTGGAAGTCGCTGGAGCAGGTTGCAGCGGGGATCTCATAGGAGCTGACGAAGCAGCGGCTGGGGGTTGTGATTCCAGGACGGGTTCCATGGGAACGGCACCAAGACCGCCGTTGTAAGCGGCATGCCGGTAATCAAAATCTTTTCCCATCATTGGCGACGACATTGTGTGAAAGCTAGCAGTGAATCTAATATCAGTAGCTCTCTCTTGACGTATTGTAGTATCGCGTTCGGTTGCTGTGACCAAGCGCCTTGTCTTTCGCCTATTATCGTGTTGCTTTGATGATGATGATTCAAAGAATTCCAGTCGTAGGAAACCAGACACTCTTCAGGGGTCGGTGGTTGTGGGTCTTCACAACGGCTCTAGTCTCCGAGTTGAGTCAGTTTTGCGATCTTTGAAGAGTGGCTGGTGCTCGAACGGTTTCAACGGTTCGAAATTGAATGTTTATCTACGTCACGAGGATTGGATCCAGGACTGCAGGCTCCATGTGCGCACTGATCAATCGAAGTAGTCGATTCCAGAATATCCATCCATTCAATTTTTGAATGCCGGCAATGAACATATGAAAGAGTGGAGGGAGGACACAAACTCATTACAGTACCGTACACGAGACCTGATTACATCCACGCACCAGCCGATGTAAATCACTGCAGTCATGGCCTTTCGAGAACCAATCCACATTCTGGGAGCCGGATCGATCGGAGTTTGCTGGGCAGCCTTGATCCGATCATCTCGTCCAACCTATCCTGTCACGTTGCTGGCACGAAACAACAACGACAACAACAATGCTACCACCAATGAAAAAAAGAGCAACCAGAATTCAGGTACAAGAGATATATCTCTAAAGCGTCTGCATCCCAAACCTAGTGTTGAAACGCTACAGGTGCCACAGCATGTAATTGGATCGAAGAATCATCACAAGGAGGACCTTTTAGAACACAACGGGATCCATAACTTGTTGGTGACGACAAAATCATATCAAGCCAAAGAAGCTGTGGAAAGTGTCTTGACATATCTGGAAAAGGAAACATCTAAAATCATTATCATGTGCAATGGAGCGCTCTCCGTAAAAGAGGACTTGGCAAAGTTTGAGATTCCACTGGTATTGGCCACCACGACTCATGGGGCGTATATGGAAAACAACAAACAGGACGTTGTCCATGCAGGAGTAGGCAAGACCTATATTGAAAACAGCATGCCACAACTTGCAGAGCTATGGGATTCCGTCGGAATGCGTTGCGAATCGTTACCAACACACGAAATGAATGTGACGCTATGGCAAAAGCTGGCTGCCAATTGTGTCATTAACCCTCTCACTGCAATCTTTCGATGCAACAATGGCGAATTGCTTTTGGAGCCTTCTTTTCCGCAACTGTTGCATGAAATTGTGGATGAGCTTGTAACCGTTGCCAACCTCGATTCTGATTCGACTGCCGGCGGAGAGCCAATCACAAAAGAAGCATTGGTTGCTTTTGTGTATGAGGTGATCAGAGATACGGAACACAATCGATCTTCAATGTATCAGGATATTGTATTGAAGCAGCAAAAGTCAGAAATCGATCATTTGAATGGATTTGTTGTGAAGAAGGGACGGGCGGCAGGAGTGGAATGTTTGACCAACGAAGACATTGTCGGCCGAATCAAAGATCTAGAAACTCGAAACAAGAATGGACATTGAAACGTAGGACAAGGGCATATTGAGCGTTTCTGAAAAAATGCGACCATGAAACAATTCAACATAAACATGACCAAGAGCAGCTAGGAACAAACAGCATGGAACAGTGCACTGAACAATCGATCACAACATAACCCCAAACCAAGATATGCTTGAAGCATACTGTACTGATCCCTGTGTACCAAGGAGAAATGCCTACTACAGCGTTGGCCAAAAGTTACATGGCTCAAAATCACGAGGAGGTCAATAATTGGTACCGGTACCAGGTTCCACCCCGGTTGTATACCACCAAGAATACCGGTAGGATTCTCGAAAAGGGGACAAAGAACTTCGAGCTGTACCGCTAATAGAAGGCATTCATAAACGAGCTACCGCTACTTAAATTCTTAAATAATCTAATTACTTCAGCCAACACCGGGTACTGTAGTGACCAGCTGAAACGTATATCGTCTGATATACGGTAACGTCTGTACGTCCCATCACCATATAAACATAGCTTCTCGTGGATAGAAGCACAGGATATCGTTTGATGCTTCATGGCACAATTTTTTAAATATCATGGCATATTTCACTCCAAGAACACATCAAGGACACGCAAAGAGAGAAAAGAGGGAACGCCCCAGCCAGCTGGGGGGCATGCATTCTCTGGAGGAAACACGATGTGTCAGCTACTGTGAATCGTGGTGATTGGACCATGGGGCATATCTTCGACGCCCAGCACTGCCTAGTACTAGGCTAGCTAGTACTACTCTATAGTAGTAGTACTTCAAGAAGAAGTGTTACCTTCCCAAAAGAGGTGATCAGTCTTGCAAGGGGGTCTACATCGTGCATCCTCTAACTCTTGCCCCGACAATGAGACGAAATTGAAAATACTCCAACCATTTTGGTCAAGGAGGAGATGAAGTAACAATTCCCTGTCATATCTTGGGGGGAAGACCTTAAAAAGTTTAGTAGAAATGATTGTTATATTTTTCTATACTTCGTTGTTTGGATGTGAGGTACTAGTGCATGTGCCCTTCTCAATTAATTGACACGTAGTATTCCAATAGATACCAAAATGGCCGCCGACCCGATACTTAGGAGAGAATATGTCTGGTTGATTCTAGGGGAAGAAGTGCCAAGAAAAAAAACATACAAATAAACGATTCACAGTCAACTAATATCTTATATTATACTGGGGTGTTATATTATACTATGGAGACCTTCGGCTATGAAGTCATGCGTTCTAGGAGCGAAACTTGAACAACGGTATCGCCACTCCACCACATCCCTGCTTTTCGTCGTGACAGAAGCCGCCACTAGTGTTCTGGGCTCAATCCAATTTTGGATTTAAACCAGAAGTTTTTTGTATCTCTGCTGGACCCAATGGTTCGCTGCAAAAGGCAAGGTTGCAAACAGACTGTCATCGGTTTGACAACGATATCGGCCATCTGGCAGTGATCTTCTCAGCAGAGAACACAGACATCCAAGCAAAACAACGACCGGTATCAAATCAAAGCATCGATAGCCTCATGGACCAGCCATCACAGAACAGTGTTGATTGTTGAGTCACGGGATGAAGAAGTGTTGTCGAAACTGGAGATGAAGAAGGAATGCCATACAGCATGTTCTTCACAAAAGAGAGCCAAAATAATGCTCCTGACGGTCCTTTGTCTTCATCATGGCCATGATAATATCAACAAGAACTCAACAGACGCCAACACAAAGAGGATCAAGTAGCAAGTTATCGTGTCCCCAATAATGTGGTGGAAATCAAAGCCCATTTCCGTCCACGGCTGATTGATATGTTTGGCAACAAAACAAGAGGATTTCAACCTTGCACAACGCCAGCAAAAGTGGGCAAATGTGCATGTGCTGGATGCGAAGCCGAGTCTTGTGCAAAAGAAGGACCTGGAGCGCACCGTTGCAAGTTTTGTTGCAAGTTTTGTGGTATCCCCGTCCATGCAGCGTGTTCCGTTGATAGATGATGGGTTGACAAAAGCGATGCCACCAACCCTTGCCTGGTACAGGTTTTGCAGTGAGCCATTATTGAGAAAATCCACAGCGAGGCCAGAGGTATTACATTTACATAAATATCTTGGTTTCTCGTGTCTCGTTTCGTTTCATTTGTTCGTTCCATCGATATTGATGTTTGATGTTTTCGTACATATTTGAATATATACCGTGCGGTATCTGAAACCAGACCAGTATTCTGGTCTACGTTCAAATTAGTACGATTTCTACGTAACAAAATGAGTCCCAACTTGAATTCGCATCGTGTATTCGTAACCCGGAGTGCCGATATACTTTTCCGCAATACCATGCGGGAACTAAAATTTCACTAGTAATCGTATGGTAGATGATTTCCAGGTATTGCGGAAAAGTATGATTTTGATATACGTTTCGTGCGGAAATGCGCGGTAATGATATATCCTTCAGTAAGTCTGGAAAGGTCATAACATATATAAATCCCGACTTGAATACATTTTCCTTATTTATTGCTCTCCCCCATTGCGCTTGCGTTAGAAGAAACGGTATTATGATATTATAGGGCCGGTCTCGGACAATCTGAGACAGGAGCATCGCCTTCAAGAACGAGTTTGTCGATTACGGTTTGTGGGTTGACGAACATGAACTGCCCAATAATGGCAATCTGGTATTTCTCTTTGTACTCCTATTTTACACACTCCCACGCAACTTTGGACAGATGATACGGCAAAATACGCCTTCAGCCTATTACAGCTTATTCCTATGGTGCATTCTCGGTCTGGATTCTAGAGTTTGCTCATCGGATGAAGTGCCGTGTCCACTATCGATTCTGATTCCGTTTCATGATGAGTAAGTGCAATTTTTAGATGAATCTACCTCCTATGGACTTGCAATGGTGCTCTATTTTTCACACTTATGCCTTGTATTCTTCTCTACAGTCGAGTTATAGACAGCAGTACAATCATTTCTATAGACGACAATCGTCGTGATGGCTTGGGGCTACTCGCATCGGCACTTCTTGCAATAAACGACTTCAACAGTCGAGAATCAATATTGGCACCTGACGCTCTGAAAGGGATCCAAGATTCCTGTGCAATATATTTCCCTCCTCCAATAATCACAGGTAAGAAGGACTGGTGTTTGTCTCAAGCAGGCGGCACCCTGAGGCTTTGTGGTATTTACTGATGGATGTCACTCTTTCTTCCATTGATAGACAGCAGGCAGTCGGCAACAGCCGTCAAATCCGCAGAATCCTCTTGGATTCCAGCAGAGAATAGCACATGCTCATATGTTATTGGTCCATATAATAACTTGGTAGCGGAAGTAGTGGGTCAAACAGTAAAGGCAAACGGGACGATAGCGATATCGTATGGGGCAAATGCCGACGAACTGGCGGATGATTCTTCGACGTATCCAAACCTGGCACTGGGCAACATCAAGTGGGAAGATTATGTCCGTTCACTACTTCAGTATGTTAGATGGAGTGGCTGGAGTGACGTTGGAGTATTGTTAACACCTGAAGACAACCTTGACTTCAACAATACCGATTTTGTTCCAATGTGGACGAATGCCAGCGAGGAGATTGGGGTCGAAATTGAATCACTTTCGCGGATTGCGTATAGATCAAAAAGCGTCTTGGAAGAGCGGCTGCAAAATCTCAGAGACACAAGGGGTGTAAGGACAATTCTGGTAACGCTTCATCGCGACGACGAGCTTGAAGTATTGGCGGAGGTGGCTGACGAACTGGGCATGTTGACCGAGGAGTACACATGGATCATGACCGAGCATTTCCTTTCCTCGCGATATGTTGAGAGTTATCATGTGTCGACTTCATCACCGATTGTGAAGCTTTTCCAACGGACTGAGATTTTCGAAATGCTGGATGGATTCTCGCCGTTTGTGGTGAACAACGAAGTCAATGCCTCGGAGCTGCTCCGAACAGATTTGCTATCGCAGGGCGCCATGCTTCTGGAAAGCATGCAATCCATTATGAACGAAACAGGGGCATTTGATGGGCTTGTTGTGGATCAGACGGTTTTGGAGGAAGCTTTTTTCTTGAATGCGCCTGCGAATGGAGCATCATTGTTGTACGACACAATTTTGGCCGCTGGATTATCAGCCTGTAGTGGCGAAGTCGATATGGAGAGTTTATTGGAGACTGAGTTCGACGGGGTATCTGGCAAGTTTGCGTTCCGGACGGATTCCCGCAGCTTGTCGGCCTCTGAAACCCAATTTGGAGTCTTTTCAATCTCCGTGACAACAGACTCAAGTTCGGGCAGACGAAACAGGCGAAACTCAGCTATGGCCACATTCAAAACGAAACTGATACATCGAATGGTTGGCGGGCTTGTGGACTTGAAACCTGCTGTTGGCGATTTTCATACTTTGTCATTTGGGGCCCGCTTGTATGGACTCATTTTAGGAGGTTTGGCAATACTATGTTCAGTCATATGCGGCATATTTGTATACAAGTTCAGAAACGATCGAATTGTTAAAATTGGACAGCCAGAATTTCTCGGATTGGTCTGTGCTGGGGCCTTCTTGGTGGCAATTCCAGTTGTCTTGCGGCCGTTTGACGAGGGTAGTGGGTTGAGTTCTCTTTCTTTGAGTGTCTCGTGCACAAGTCAAATGTGGCTAAAATACTTGGGAATTCTGATCGTCAATATGGCTCTTTTTTCAAAGGTACGAATTCCACGCTCGAATGTTGGAGTGCCAAAACATCACTAAACCCTTTCCTTTAGTTGTATCGAGTTGAGAAAGTGACCCAAATGAGAAGGCGTCAGCGAATACAAGTAAAAGATGTCATCAAACCATTCTGTGGCCTATTTGGAACTGCGTTTGTACTTCTCATCGTATGGACTGCAGTAGACGCGCCAGTTTGGAAGACAGAATCTGGAATTGGATTTTGTGACGAGGCTCTCTATTTCGGAGTTGCAATGGATATCCTTATGATTATTGCAATTTCACTTACGTTATGGTGGGCTGAAAAGACAAGCAACTTGCCAGAGGACATATCTGATTCCATGCGGGTGTACTTTACCCTCGTGGCGCAATTCATTATACTTATGAGTAAGTTTATTTTCTGCACTCGTTGATGATTGGATGCACTTTCCTGACCAGCCGATTCCGCAGTGGACATTCTTCTCTCTGTTTTTACGCGTGCGGTTGAAGACAACAACTTTGCCTACGTTGTCGAAGCAACTTTTTCTGGGGCTTTATCCTTCACATGCGTCGTCTATTTGATTGGGCCAAAGATGTACTGGGTTCATCACAAGGAAAAGACGGGAGAACTACCTCCCAGCTTGCAACGTGGTACGGTCACTGTAACTGGTATTGCAGTGCCCACTGGAACGGCGGGAGGCATTACCGGAGCCAGTCGCTACAAGTCGAACCGTGCCTCCTCTCGTGCTTTGAGGGCAAGCAATCATAGCCATCATTTGAGATCTTCTGCTTCGGTACACTTCCCATCCATAATTTCAGAGTAAGTGGCTTAATCTGGCAATCTTGGATTTGAAATATATTGGGTAAATACGTTGAGTTCCACTCACACTTTGTTGTCCACAGGGGACCGTCGAGTTTTACTCGTTCGAGTGCCGAGCATTCGCCAATGGAGTGTTCACCCGGGCCACCGGCCGCGCCTCATCAAATACAAAGTCCTCGTCCAAGAAGTTCCGTGGACATGGCTGGCTTATACTCCATTTCATCTGGTGAGCTTGAATCTGGGCTTGAATCTGACACTGATGATCAACAACAAGAAAAATAGAATGGGATCGATTAGATTTTGCAGGTAGTCGCACTGCGACTACTTCGACTCTTCTTCCAAGTTGATTGATACATCCACTATCGACAATCTTGTTTATTTTTATATCAATAACATTTTTAAAAGAAAACAATATTCATGACAGGTGCACCCGTCTTCCTAGAACCGTTTCATATCCTTGGTTCAGGTAGCTTGGGTTTGCTCTGCGCGACAGCACTTCGATCAGCATTTCCCTCATACCCCCTTGCAGCTTTGTTTCGTGAAGGCCACCGACAACACATTCCCTCAGATGACAATGAAATCACCGTATGCCTGCGACAATTCAAACAACGCCCCCGCATGGCCCATGTGCCCGTTCAATTTACAGATGAACTTGACCGCAAAAAAATTCGAAACCTTATCCTGTCCACCAAAGCGTTTCAGGCGGTGGAAGCCACCGAAAGTATCCTACCTCGACTGGACAAGGATCAGCTGAGGATTGTCGTTCTTTGCAATGCTGGGCTAGACGTTCGAGAGAGGCTTTTGGATTCCTTGTCGAAAAATGGAATTCAGAATCCTCATCTTATAATGGGTACCACAACAAATGGAGTCTATCAAGAACCTCCCGACGAAGACATGTTCCATTTGGTGCAAACGGGCATGGGGCGGACCTTTCTCGGAAGTACGCCTTGTCCAAGTACTGGTGATGCCGATATAGTTCCCACTATTGCACAATTATGGGATCGAGCCGGTCTGAATGCTCAGCCGATCGAGGAGGATCAAATGGAAGTCCTCTTGTGGCAAAAGCTGGCAGCAAACTGTGTTTGCAATCCCTTGACAGCCTTGTACGATTGCACCAATGGTTCCATGCAACAGGAGGTATCCAATTTTGGCTCACTGCGAGAGCAAGTAGTGAACGAGGTCTTTCAGGTAGGACAGGCGGTTGATCCATCGATGGAACAAAACTTGAAGTCTCCACAAGTGCTAGATGACTTTGTTGAAATCACAATTCAAGACAACTTGGAGAACACGTCTTCGATGCATCGTCATGTACAAAACCAGCTGAAAACGGAAATTGAGAATCTAAACGGATACGTTGTGCGGAAGGGGCGGGAACTCGGCATCGATTGCCCTGCCAACGAAGAGCTGTATCATCGAATATCAGAGCTTCCAATAATGAATGATATCGATGGGAAGTAGCAGCAATCAGGCAAACGAGGAAATTGCAATACTTGCAAGGACTAGGTTTCACAAAAGTGGTACAGTGCAGCAACAAAATTCTATATCCATTCTCATGTCTATGATCATCATTGAAACAATTCATCAATTTCCCAAATCTTTCCATGGAATCCTTTCTCACCAGTCGAGACAAACCAAAACAAAAGCTTACGGTCGCGGCGTTGTGCCCAAGGTTTCCCAGCGACCTCTTTCAAGGTCAAGCCAGAAGCAAATGACGCGGCCCAAGGGTGTGTGTGTGTGTGTATGTTTTTTGGCAAAAGTAGTAATGTAATAAAACAAAAACCAAGCCAAAACAAACCACTTAAAACCCAGTAGACGACGACCATTGCCAGCTCGTACGAAACCGACCTCAAGCACCTCCAACGCTACTCGTTGCAACCAACATTATTACAAGTCCACACACGAATGTGAATGACATGAGACGCGACCATGCTTTCGCTGATTCCTCCACAGTGACAGTATTTCCAAGGCCTTCCTTGTTAAAAATCTCCGAATTTCATCAAGTTTCTCACAAACCAATCCTAGCCATAGTTTCCCGTGCTGCCAAAATTAATTTTTTTAAAAGCCAAAGGCTCCCATTCCTTCTCGTTGTTCCTTAACAAAGGCCTCGTAGAACTGGAAGATAATGGTCACTGAAAGCAGAATACCGGTACCAGTACCAATGGCTCCCATGAAATCAGCACAGACGGAAAGGGCACCAATGCACATACCTCCAAAGGCAGCAGCAGTAGGAATGTATCGGTTCAAGACATGGATCAAAGCGGAATCACGGTGTCCCTTCATGACCATTTGGTTGTCTCTCAGTTGCTTGGCAACATCACGAGCAGAAGCTCCCGAAACCTCAATCCAAGTCTTGGAGAACAAGGCACAGGCAGTCAAGATGAACACCAAGTAAAAGACGGCGTGGAATGGATCGTAAAGAATCTCGGCAAAGGAGGTAGGAGGGGAAATGTAGTAGGCAATTCCTCCAACTGGGATCTTTTGTCCGGGAGCTCCATCAGCATCTTGCCACTTTCCGAGCAAACGAACCAAAATGTTGGTGGGTGCACGGTTGTACAAGAGTTGGGAGATAAAGTACAAGTTGGAAACCAAGGCAGTTTGCAAAATGATGGGCATGTTGGAAGTGTAGAAGAGCTTGATGGGGTAGTTTCCTTGTTGTCCACGGTACTTTTGGTACTTGACAGGAAGGTCAACTCTCCATCCTTGGAAGTAAATGACAACCACAAAGACAACTACAGTTGCCATCAAGTTGGTAACGTTGGGAAGGTTCTGACGAGTAAGGGCCTCTCGTAGTGCGGTGACCTTGTTCTTTCTGGTGATGAGCAAGTGGAATAGAGCAATGATGGCACCTTCGAATTCCGTTCCACGACCAGTGTTGAGGGTAGTGGGAGAAAAGGCCTTCCAGACAATGGTCTCGCAAATGTTGGTGGCAATGAAAAGAGAAATACCCGAACCAAGTCCGTATCCCTTTTGCAAGAGTTCATCAAGAGTCAAGACAATCAAACCGGCGCAGAAAAGTTGGGCAATGATAAGAATAGCGTTACCGGCCCCAATAGAACCAATGTCACCGTACATTCCCGAAACAACGTAAGCAATGGCTTCACCAGTTGTGATAAGGATACCAAACAACTTTTGAGCACCAGAAAAGAGAGCACGATCTTCCTTGACGTTGTAGTCGACCTCAATAATACGGGAACCGGCAAGAAGTTGCATGACCAAACCAGAAGTAACAATGGGACTGATACCAAGTTCCATGAGAGTTCCACGGTTGGAAGCAAGGATTACTCTCATCCAGTAGAAAGGATCTGACGACTTGGCGGATTGAACTCCATAGATAGGGATTTGACAGCAGACAAGGAAAATAAACAGAGTGATGGCAGTCCAAAGAACCTTTTCCCGGAATGGAATCTACGGTAAATTGAATGGATGATCGGATTGGATTGGATGATGCGTATGTCATTTGTGTATTGGGGGGAGCAAGAAAAAACAAGCAAAGAGCTGTGTGAGCATACCGAAATAAAGCAAACTGATAGGCACTGTTGTTGCCGAGTTCAATTTCAAAGCAATGATCAATGTCAATCGAATGAAACAGGGACAACGGAGGTGGTTGTTGCATGCTATCGCACTTGGTTTTGCATTTGTTTGGCGTCCAAAATCGAGTCGAGTCACGAGTTGATCAGTAGAAAATGTACCAAGCCTACGGGGACCAATTTGTGCGGCTCTCGTTCTCAACCCGACTTTTCGAAGGGGCCTCGACCCACCATGTCCTAACATCATTTTCAACGCCAACTTTCAAAATTGCATACCTTGCGATCTGGACTGGCGACCTCTGGGAGAACGCACATCACTGGACGGATCAAGTGAAGAAACCTCATGGTGAACTAAACAATCTATCGACCAAGAAGGTGATGAAATAGTGGGAGCGATGTTGCAACCAACAAAAAAAGGAGGGTGATGGATGACCCAAGTAGTCGACTAAACTTTAGAAAAGGGGGCGTCGTAGGAATGCACTGAAACACGATTTCAAACCCACGCATGGCACAACGCGCGCGAGCATGCATGCAACGTGGAACTATTTTGCTCTCCCCCTTTCTATTTTTTCATGGATCCCCCAATAGTGTGACGTGTGCAGATGAAAGAACCCAAACTTGGTCAGACTAAAAACTGACTTGATGAGAACAGCTGCATTACACTACTACCTTCATCATCTGCGTTACACAGTACTGCATCGGTAATACTGTACCTGAATAATTGAAACAAAATGAATGCATCACAGCAGCTAGCAATCCTCGTCTCGACGATCCTGTTCCTTCAGCTGGGATCCAGTTTTGGATTTCGATCGTCGATGAGTCCAGCCACACGAATGATTCCATCCACAAGAAGCAGCAAGAGTGCAATGTACGGCGTCATCAATGAAGAGAGTGACTTTCCACCTGAAGAAGGTGGCTACGATTCTAGTATCGATTGGGACAGCGAGTGGAAAAAGGTGGTCCAAAGCGAAGGCAAATTGTCCACGGGTGAATCCCGACCAGGCCAAGAATTTTACAAGAGTGAAGCGGAGATTGCTGCCATTAAGGCTGCCAACAAGGCCGCTGCAAGGGCATCCGAAGCTGCTTCCTCTGTGACAAACAAGCTGCCACAATTGAGTTCCTTTTCGGGCGACTGGAAGTTCTGGATTGGTGTGCTGGCCATTATCAGTGTGGGATTGGCCGTCTTGTCGGCACCCCCACAAGCCAACATTCTTCCAGGACCCAGTGGAACTGGTGGTGGTTACTACATTTAGAAAATAGCATTCCAATACTGTAGGAATATATGGGCACAAACGCGAAAATATGGAGAACCGAACAAACGAACGGTACCATAGTTTCCAATTGTTTGGGCCATTTCCACACAAGTGTACAAGCGGAAAGCTGACAAATAGATACCACAATGGATAGACAAAAAAGGGATGCAAAACAGAACATGGCCAGAGCTACAACAGTGAAATAGCCAAACGAAGTTACGTCATAACTAAACTAGCAGGCAAGACATATCCCACTTCATTTTATTTTTATTTTAGCCTTTAAATTTTTGGTTTGCCTACTTGGCTTTTGTTTCGGATGATTCAGGCTCTTGCTTCTTCTCTTGGGACTTTTTCTCTTCCTTCTTCTTTTCCTTCATTTCCTTGTAGTTGTACAGGTACAATGGCGTGCCAATGAAACCACCGTCGGTTCCTCCTGCGACGGCCAATACTTGCTTCTCCCGGTGCACATCGACTGCATAAATTGGGTATTCGTCGTCCTGTTTCAAAACGGACATGGGAGACTGGACGTTGCCCTGCAAGTACGAGTCCCACAAACACAACGACCCATCAATGCCCCAAGAGACAATTAAATGTTCGTATTCTCCACCCAAATACTTGGCTCCAAATATGGGACGTCCCGGTGCGTGACCACCTTCCATAATGGCCATGCACTCGGCCTTGGCATTGCCGTTCCCTTGGACATCACCGAAATGCACGTGCCACGAAATCAAGTGACCAGTCGCCACTGTGGTCACCAATCGTTCTCCAGAACGATCCCAACTAAATGATGTGAGATGAGAATTCACACCGGGCAAGTTCATGACGGATACGCAATGTCCACGACCATTGTGCAAACGAAGGGATCCATCCGAGAGGGCAACTCCCAACAGTCCAATGGCGGGACAGTATGAGGCATCAAATACATAGACCTTTTTATCAGGATTCCTCTCTCCACCAAATGCTTTAGCAGGGGAAGAGTCGTTCGTATGATCTCCGCTGCCGCCGCCGCCAATTCCAAGACCTTGTTTGGTAACATTCACAATTTCCACACCGTAGAAATATTGGTTCATGTCTCCAAAGTGCAAGCTGAATACTTCCTTTAGGCCCATTTCATCGGGACGAAGCTTCAAAGATATTTCTTGATCTTCTCCCATGGTCAGCACTTGTTCCATGCCAGACTTGATCTCCAGTTCCCAAAAGTGAACATAATCATCCGACGATGTCATGAAAAAGGAATTCTGCGCATCTCCATCCATTTTGTTGTTGAAGGCTTGCCAGTGATCAATGAACTGTAGCGAATACACTTGCGGCTTGTCGTTGTCCTTATCCTCCTCCTCTTCCTTTTCCTCGTCTTCGGCAATCGCACCGAGTTCCTTGTCAACCTCGGATTGCTTTTGGCTCGATGGCTCCGCGTGGTCAAACGTCAGACAACAGTGCCAACTTCCTTCCACGCCTTGTTTGATCCTCGGATCTTTACAAGCCCAAAATCGAACTGTTCCATCCGCACCACTCGATGCCAACAAGTACTTGAAATTGGAAGTGCGATCCAAGCTGTGGCTGGACCATGTCGGTGATGCCCAGACCACACGAAGGCATTCATAGGCTTTCGAGTGTCCCTTCAAGGAAGTCAAAAGACTGTTCTTCTTGACATCCCAAACATTAATGGTGGAATCTTGACTGGCCGAGGCACAAAAGTTTCCGCATTCGGAAAACGAAACTCCAAAAATCTTTTCTTTGTGACCAAAACAGCTTTGCTCCTTTTTCTTGCATCCTTCGAAAAGTCCAAACGTCTTCAAGAGACCATCCGCAACATCCCAAGCTTCAGGCCTCGCTGGATTGTAATTTTGAAATTGCTGTTCATGGCCATCGTATTGTTGATGTTCCTCTTGCTGTGGTGCACTTGGGTTGTCTCGCAGCTGTGGATGTTGCTGGCTAGCGGTAATATCGTCATTTTGCGCTTGTGGTGGCGCTTGTGATGGAGCTTCTGTTGGAGCTTCTGAATCGCTGTCAGTCGACTTCTCTTCCGGTTCCTTTGTAGATATGATGCGGAAGTTGTTGGGGATACAGGGCGTGCAACCTTTGAAGGCATCTGTGACGTGCAATGGTGGCCTTTCCTGCAGTTCTTCCTGGTCTCTCTTTTGGATGTCCGCTTCCTTTTTCTGGAGACGAGCCAGAAATGCTTCGTTCTTGGACGGTGCACCTTTTCCAGATGGCTGCGCCGGAGGTTGCTGAGCGTTATTAACTGGTTTTCTGTCGTCTTGTTTTTGACTCTTTTCCTTCTCCAAATCATCCTTGACTGAAATGGTTCTACCAGGTGTGAACATTTGAGAGGTCATTCGCAAAGCCGCTTGTTGTCGAACACTCTCTGCCGTTTTGGCTTCTTCGCTTTGTGTTTTCTCGCCATTTCCCTTATCCGTTCTCTCTTGTTCCACTTCTTCCGTGACTGATGTGGTTGGTTTTAATGGGATTGGGCGAGGCTTTTTCGGTGGCTGTGATGGACCATCGCTCCTTCTTGCTTTTGGCTTTCCACCAATGTCATCTTGGAGCTCGACAATCTTGGGGGCTGTCTCTGTCCCCATGTCAAGCTTTTGCTGTTGGATTTGCAGTCTCTCGTCTATTTTGGATTTGTCTTTTTCCACGTCTCCCTTTTTGCTAGCTGGACTGTTGGTGGATTTTGAGTCTATTCCTCCCGTCTCTTCTTTTGCAGGTGGAGGTATGGTTGATGACTCTGGTTCCTCTTTCGTTTCTACTCTGGTATCCGCAGCAGGCTTTATTGACTCTTCTTTTTCTTCTTCCTTGGTCAAGCTCGTAGGATCAATAGGTTTGGGGGCACAGGGTTGACAAATGAGCGTTGATGGTTCGTAGGAAGCTTCCCGAGCAATCTCAGCCAAACCTCCAAATCCCAAATCGCTGAGTTCGGTAAACAAATCTTCTGCATCCAAGTCCAACAAGTCTCGTTCCGTGTTCCCAATACCTGTTACCTCTTCTAAAATACTCAAAAGGTTGTCTTGGTCAGTTCCCTTCAATCGGTCCGAGTATAATGCCAACTGGGACAGAGACTCGAGACCCAAACCTGCCAACTGGCCTAGCAGTTTTTCTCGATTGAGTGTCGACGATGATTCTTTGGTTTCCTCCGGAATTTCTTGCCAAGGTGGTGGTGAATCTTCGACTCCGTTCTTCGCAATGGGCTGGCAATATAAATAAGATGGCAATCCGTCTGTTCCTTGCTTTTGTTGTTGCGGACCAGTTGGTTTTTCCTTCTTGCCTTCTTCCTCTTCTTTGTTGTTGTCAGTTTTGGTTTCCGAAACAGCTTCTTCTGGCTCTTTTTCTTGTGGCTCTTCAGTCTTGGCGTCGACTGTTTCTTCCTCCACTGATGAATTTATTTCCGGGACTTGTTCCGTTGGAGTTGCGTGGGATTGTGTGACTACAACAGTTTCACTTATTGCTGTTGGCTCGAAACTAGTAGACTCTCCAATATCCCACAAGGCAGCCAATTCGTCGTCGTCCAGCACCAGAGATTCAACGTCGTCTCCCAAATCCCAAGCGAAGGGATCAATTTCTGATATTGGATCAGTGCCGTCAAAGGGTTCAATTTGTTGGACCAAATGGTCAAAGTCAAAAGTCGGTGACGATGGCGGAGAAACAACCGCAACTGTTTCAGAGGTTTGGGTCGTCTTGGGGGATAGAGGCGCCTTGTCCTCCTCCTCCTTGGGCAGCGAAACTGCTACGTTGGGCTTGAGCGACGCAATCTTGACGAATTATGGGTTGGAAAAAAAAAACAATGATGATGTGATGTGATTAAAAAGTCGGACACACCGTGTAGACTATCGAGTGGACTTGACACGTTTCGCAAGAGAACTGCTGCTGTCAATGCTGGGATCTGGATACCTTCTCTTATTGACAAAAAGGAGAAAGTAAAGAAGCAATGACAAGCAAAAGAGTGATGTTGTAGTAGAGTGAATTGTAAAGTGTTCCGTGTTTCAAGCATTCGAATGGCCTCGCGCGTTAAAAAGTTGGGCCTAAACAATTGCGTTTTTTGAGTCCATGAAGTCGTCTACTCCTTGTTTTGGAAACCCATAGAAGGCCTTACACTAAGAATGGATCGTAGACAAACAATCGCTTTGCTTATCTGCAAAAAAATGTATCTACTAAGAAATTGTCCATGACATCGATACTCAATGAAGTCAAGTGGGCATTTAATCGATATCCTCCTTTGCTTGATCTTGATTCCTCCCTCTTTCATTTTTTTGTTCGTACAGGTAGAGTGGAACCCCATGGGAACAGCAGTCGCTTTCGGCGCCTCCTACCGCAGTGGATTGGTTCGCATGGACTTCTACAGCATAAATTGAGTGATCATATTGCCTTAAGACGGCGATTGGTGATTTCACATGGCCATGCGATTGGGAATCCCAAAGACACAATGAGCCATCCACACTCCATGAGAGAATCAACTCTTCGGTGTCTCCACCATAGTACCGAGCACCAAACAGAGGACGGCCTGCTGCGTGGCCACCCTCAAATGTACATACATGGTCTGCCTTGGTGTAGCCATTTTGATGTGCCTCGTCGTTCAAACGCAATTCCCAGGACACCAATTGTCCCGTGGCCACAGTCGTGACCAACCGAGACCCATTTCGATCCCAGCAAAATGACTTCAAATGCGATTGGGAATTGGCGACACAGAGAATGCAGACACAAATGCCACGGCCATTGATCAAACGAAGAGTTCCATCGGATAGAGCCACGCCAACAAGTCCATTGGCTGGGCAAAAGGAAGCATCAAAGACGTAGACCACATTGTTGGGATTGCGGTCTCCACCAAAAGTGTTTCCCGCAGAATCAGCATTGTCACCTTCCAATGTAGTGGTACTATGATCAGTCACCGTGACATTTGTAACACTGACACCGTAACCATATTGACCAATGGATCCAAATTTAAGACTTATGACTTCTTTCAGAGTCAGCCGATCGGGGCACGTGGGCTCCAATGTGGACAATCCATCCAAAGTCCAAAAATGTAGATAATCATCCGAACATGTAATGAGAAATGAGCTTGGCGAAGAATCTTCTCCAGAGGTGTCAAAGGCTTCCCAGTGATTAATGAAATCCAACGTATATATTTGTGGTTTGTCTTGAGCCTCGGCCGCACTGGTGCGTTTGACCGCAAATTGCGAATGGTCCAACGTCAGGTAGCATTGCCACCCACCTTTTTGACCTGGCGTGATTCTAGGATCTTGACAGGCCCACAATCGAACGGTACCATCGGCGCCACTAGAAGCCAGCAAATACTTAAAGTTGGAATTGCGATCCAATACTTTGTTGGACCACGAATGTGACGCCCAGGCCACACGCAGACACTCGAAGTCCTTTGAATGTCCTTCCAAAGTAGCTAACAGGGTCTTGTTTCGGACGTCCCACACCTTGATGGTGGAGTCTTGACTGGCCGTTGCGCAATAGGAGCCGCATTCCGAAAAGGAGACGCCAAAGATGGTATCCTTGTGTCCTTCACATTGCCGCTCCTTTTTCGGGAATCCTTCAACGAGACCATAGGTTTTCAAAACACATTGTGCAGCGGCCCAAGCTTCTCGTCGTGTCGAGCTGCCATCTTGAGATATAAATCCAGAGTCTTTGTCATCTTTCTGTTGACCGTGGTGGTCGTGATTCTTCTTTTGAACGTCAGAAGCTGGAATAGTGATGCTGCACATTGGATCACCCGGATCATCATCCACTTGGAATATTGATGACGGTCCTTGTACCGCCAGATCATTATGTTCTCGATGGCTCTGTAGGGCCACGTCCAGCGGCTGAGTTTCGGCTTCGTCATCGTCATCAGATTCTCCCTCGTCTTCAAGATTGGCTAGGAGTATCGGGTCTGGATTTTGTGCTCCATTCTTCACTTCATCAGAGTAAACCGGTGGATCTTTCAGAGTCGTAAGATCGAGACTGGCTAGGTCCGCATAGAGCTCTTCAGTATCGAGATCAATTGTTGAATTTGCTTGCTGTTCTAAGCTGCTACTCGAAGCTTCAGAAAGCGGACTCGCTGGTTGGTCCATATGGCCGTGATCACCGGTTGCCAAGTGGGATGCGTCTTTCCCCAAGCTGTCAATGGCTGAGTCCAGGCCATGGGAATCCAGAAACCCCAGTTCCTCACTGTTTTCACCAATGCTTTGCACAAGATTGCCTTCTACATCAGGGAGAAAGGACTGATCCAGCAGCTCATCCTTCGGCTCTTCGTCAACGACATACTGTGGTCGTGAATTGCGTTCATCTTGCGTTACATTTTGGCCATCATTATCTTGTCCTGCAGTATCATTCAATTCATTCGAATGGCTGTCCCTTTCACTGAAGTTTACGAAAGTATTAGCCACGTCTTCGTCCCAAAACGCTGGTTCTGAATGGTCCCCATCACCCCATGGTTCAAATACAGGTGGTACAAAGCTGTTGTCATTTTCTCCCGCACTATGATCGTCAACGCTTGACACAATTGCCTCCCATTGTGGGAGCTGCGTGTTGAATTGGGAAGACCGAATCTTGGGCACAGACTGAAGCAAATCAAGGAACCGACTAAGATATAAATCGCTTGCTTTGATCTACAGCAGAGATGCTATAGTACTGGGCTGATACAGAAGAAGGAGGAGGAGATGGATTTGATGATGTCGAGGTTTTGGGTTTGGGTGTGTTCGACAACTTCCCATTGTCCGTTATAAAGTTGACTGGTACGACTACTTTGAATTGTGAAGAATTTGAATGAACGAATCAATCAATCGCATCCTTATTTTGAATTTCATTTCAGTTGTTGTCAATGCTGTAGCCTTGGCTGCGTCCAAAGACGCTGTCCTGCTTCCCCTCATCATCTCAAGGGAAAAAATTCTTCTGCAACCAAGAAAAATCCCCAAGGGCATTGTCATCCTGGCTTTGGAAACGGGATTCACTATGGCGTTGAATGAATTAGTCAGTCTCAAAGACTGAGAATCTTTGACACAAATGCAAGAAAAAATGCACGGGCAAGCCTTCTTGTGTCTCGACGACTTTATGTGTTACGTTTTAGGGAACGATGGTGAAACGAGAAAGGAGGCGTTGAGCTATAGTCTGAGAGAGTTGAATCCAACGAATCATGTCACGACCCCCAATTATTTGCTTTGGGTACCTACAGTATACTCTAAAGTATACTCTAGCATCGCAACCAACTTTTGCAGCAAGTACGCACATATCGCAAAAGAAAAGCTACAAGAGCATACAAATCTTTTGATCATGCCTTCAACGTACCTGTACGCAGGTCAAGCAGATCAAGATCTGGTCCCAGACGATGTCGTGCAAGTACGAATCCAAGCAGACTGCAAGGTTTTACCATCAATGGCATTCCTTCTGTGCGCATCCAAATTGAAGCTAGTGGAAATATTGGTGGGATTAGAAGTCATGAAGGAGAGATGCTTTTACCAATGTTTAAGCTTGAAAACAATACAGCTTCCATATACTGTTCGACAGATTGGAGATGCATCATTTTTCGGTTGCCAGGGCCTTCAACAAGTGGAAATGCACGGCCATGGACTCTTGACGCTCATTGGAAAAGCTGCCTTTTTCGGCTGTATATCTTTGATTGCCGTTGCCATTCCTGAATCAGTGTCGGCAATTCAGGAGTCTGCATTCCATGGCTGCGAAAAGATGGTTTCCATCCACTTACCGACGAAAGGTCTTCAAGTGCTGGGTCCGATGGCCTTTGCGCATTGTATAGCTTTGGAATACATTGCTATTCCACTCACAGTTTGCATCCTAGAAACTAGCACCTTTCTAGACTGCTATCGACTCCGCCATGTGGAATTGGGGCAGGTGCAAAGGATTCAGAAAGCAGTCTTTCGAAACTGCAAATCCCTGACGCACGTGAGACTTCCAATCACCCTCAAAGTGATTGGTGGTCACGCTTTCTCTGGATGTACCAACCTTTTGTCCATTGAGCTACCCAATGCGTTACAAGAGATTGGTGATTTTGCGTTTGCGTCTTGCGAAGCGCTGAAGAATGGGGTCATTCCTTCGACTGTGGAGGTCGTTGGGCGGCACGTGTGGGGAGGATGCTTTACAGGCTTTGCGACTCATGAGATTCCCCAGATGATTCGAAAGCGCTTTGAAGGTCTACCACTCCATACCGTTTGCTACTTTCATTCGTTCTACTCCAACGCAATGGACCAGCTAGTACAAGCAATGGAGCAAAGTGGTTCAAGGTCCGATCCGAAAACGGTCGATTGCTTTGGGCTTACACCATTTCACATATTGGCGTTGTCCAAGCGGCCTAGCAAGGACCTTTGGCTGGCTCTGCTGAAAAAGTACAAGGATATACATCACTACAAAGATCATTGGGGACATTCGGCGTTGGATTATTTGTACTTGAATAATGAATCTGGTGGGACTGAAGACTTGATTCGATGCGTTGTTCGCAATCCAGCGGTTTGGAGTAACGGAAGATCCAAATACTAACCAAAAAGGCAAATGGTTTGTGCATTACATTGTACTGATGCTATGATTGATTAATTGATTCGGTAACTCAAGCTCCAATACCATTAGAATGTTCGCCTTGGAAGAAGATGGAATTGAGAAAAATGGTGGATCCGATCAAAGTGCCTTTTTGTGCGGCACTCGAATCACTTGGAAAGTCTAGAACATATATCTCCGAATTCGTAAACATTTCCACAAGTACTGAAATGGGCTTCTTGAGTATTTTTCCGACAAACGGAGCATCATCGTCGGTGTTCTCTTGCGAGAAAGGGTAGACTCGAAAGGACTGCCGACAACAGCCGCGGCCAAACGGGTTTCCTTCAGCACAGCAATCAATGAAGATACCAGAACAGCAAGTGGGAGGGTGAATTTTGTACATTGGTCTGTTGACATTGTCATACACAACAAACTGAGGAATGCTGTACAGTAGAAAGTAACATAGTTGTAAGGTAATGTACATACAGTGAAACGTTACGAGTTGGAACCCATCACAAACATACCAGCAATAAAACTGCTCTTCAATGCGTCCGAGGAAGTCATCGTCACTAAAGAACGAAGCTTCTTGGTAGCAGCAACACTTGCAATTTGACGCGTGGCAAGCAAATGGCCGTTCCACTGTGAGAATGTTCAATCCAGAATGGAGTTCCTTTACCTCCATTATAAATGGGTGAATACCATTGCAGAATATGCGATAGCATGGATCGGAATCCTCCAGTGATGTTGCAACATGATCTTTCCCTACAAAGTAGTTGAACTCTGTTCTGGGAGCACAGCCCAAATCATCTTGGCACCAACCACGGCGGGTTTGAATGATTTCCATTTGATCACATCTATTCAGATGACTCTTCAGGATTTCTGATCCACGATCCATAATATTCGCTTCCAATGGCGATGAAGCCTTGGTTGGCCCCAGTGTTGAATACATCTTTTTATTTCTCTCACAGAAAAATTGTGTCGATGGCAATGATAACAATGGATCCAGATTTTGAAAATTTTGAATCGTGATAAAGGACTGACTTAGCGTTAAAATATTTTTATACGCAGGCACCTACCGGCACTTGTACCGGTGCCAGGTACCTATTGGTACCTTTACCGATATTAGAGAAATGTGGCACGGGATTAGAATATCCCGAGCCACTATTGTAGTTTTAAAACCAGATTCCAGTAAATCCGTGTTCATGTTCAGATGAAATAGAGGGTGATGCGTTACAACATTTCCTTCTGGCGCACTCCTGACGCCTGGCTTGTTCTTCTCTACCACCAGTGAACGGCGTGCTGGTGGCTGTATCCATTCTCAAGTCTAGAAATGAAAAGAGAGGCCTTGGACAGCTCAGACATGTGCATTTGGTCGTCTCACCGCCAGTGCAGCTATTTTCTGGCTCATCATAGATAGCATGTAGCGATAGGAGCTATTTCATCAACCGTGGGTTCATATTCTGTGTTTCGACTTAGTTGTTGATAGACCAAGATTTCCCGAACAAGCTGACTGGATGACCGATGGTGAGATCCGATAAAGCCCACTTGTGATCGCGGTGACTCTGGAAGAGATTGTATTGTGTTTTTTACCAGTGCCAAGTCTTGATAGAAGCCGACTCCAGCAAATGGGCCGTGTTCTGGCCTCCAAGACTCTCCTTCTTCGTGTTTTGCGATCAAGGATGTACATTGGGAATAGTTTTGTGCGAGGTATTCTTGAAGCAAAGTCAACGTCTTTGGCCGGTCTGATAACAATACGACGACACACTCTGATTTTGAATCATTTGACGTCTTCATTGTTTTGAGTAATTGATCCAAACACTTGGTTTCACGTTTGATTTTGGAGCCATCGTCACTGGTCTTGGAATGTCGTGAATGCACTGCTATCATAATTGGCGCGTTGAGACTTTCGTGATTAACCACTGCTGTAGCTACGCCATCAGTATCATTCGTCGGGGAGAGTGGACTCTTTTCTTCTTGGAGAATGGATGTCCGGAATTGGAAGCAATGTTCAAACAGCATGCCGTACAGGTAATCTTCACCCAAAGAAAGTAGCTGCTTTGCTCGATTTTGGGCTTTCTGTGTCGACAGCAAGTACTTTCGCTTTTGTGCATACTGTAAAATTGCTGCATCTTGTCCCAACATCGGTGCATAGTTTACCATTAGATCATCTCTGACGTCCACAATTCCCGCATATTTCTCGCTCTCGTTGGACCATAGGCGATGTTTAGGTCGCTTGTCAACAGTGGACCAAAACGAAAAGGACGTCATATTCTTTACATGAAGCTTCGTTTTCCATTCGTCAAAAGAAGGTATCCAATCATTCCGCTTCAGGATTTTATTGCAATCTTTTTCTTGGTTGGCCACACGGCATTTTGTCAAATCACCACCTCCTTCGCTTAGGGAAGTCCAAAAGCAAGCCTTTTGATCAAAGTAGCGATAAAGAATGGTTCGATTCGTCACAATGGACCATATCAGTGAATTGAAGAAATGGTGCAATCGATTCCCTGCTTGCAACGGGCAGCTGTAAAAGCCGACCGAAAACTTTCGTCCATTCAAATCGATGTTTGATTTATTCTCCAAATTACCATTTTCTCTCAGCTCCCACCATTCATGAGAAAGGGATCGGTGCGAGTGCTGCTCCTTGTATTCATTCCATAGCTCCAAGACTGGATTTGTTGACTCCTTCATGTGAGTAGTGTCCGTCTGAATGGTCACATCAACGTTGGACGATCGCGATGATGGATGATCACGAGTACGACCAGCACTCTTTGGCTTGTGCTCTGCAGTCAACATTCGGGAAACCTCGGGGGCCTGATGCGATAGTGCAAATGCTATAACAAAACATGTTACGACCTTGGAACCACGTCTTCTACTGGACAAGGTGCCTTCCATGGCTTCGTTGACCAATTTGCTTGTTGTGGGTTTCTAATACACGATACCGTATTTTTGAAATCATCCGATTTAACGGTTTTCCTTTCGGCGATCCCCCAAATCGGAATCATCAATCACCCCCAAACAAAAGAGTCTGGATGTCATTTTCCCTCACCAACTACTACTAACTATATTCAGTACCCTCGTTCGAAAGGAAGCAGGTGAAAAGTTTTTACTAGATTGCTGGACTGATTCCGTGGCATTGAGAATTGCATTGCGTGTACACATTCGATTCAGGGGATACGTATTCGTTTCATCAACACCACAACGAAAGAAAGCACCACGCTTAGCTCCGATTCGCTACGAGACGGCGTAGCAAAGATCTATGCTCTTCCATGCGTCGCTTCGTGTCAGCGTTATCGTCACCATCCGCTCTTCGACGAATTTTGAGTGCTTCTGCACTCGCTGCAATGGCATCTTCCAGCAAGCCCTGGTCAACTTTGATTGACGAAATATGCTCGTACACTGCTGCTACATTGGGATTGGTAATAGAGATTTTCCTGTAAATATCAAGTGACTCTTGGAAGAGTTGTATCGCCATTTCAGAATTGCCTTTCGCTCTCATTGCCAATCCCTGTTCGTTCAGCGAGCTCGCATTTTTCTCGCGCTCTAACAAGTCAAGGGAACGCACAAGCTCTTCTGTGTGGGGATGATGATTGCAAGGCACCTTTCGAGAAATGCTGATGGCTTTCGCGTACGACTGAATGGCATCTTCTATCATGTCTTGTCCGTCGTATGTTAGTGCCAGATATTCATAGGTCTGGGCTGTACTGTGGTGCATTTCACCTATCGTTTCCTTTTGTATCAAGAGAACTTTGTTGAACGCCTCCGTTGCAGCTTTAAAGTTACCCTGTTCGCATAGTATATGGCCTTTACATTGAAAAGTTCCTCCAAGGAAACGTATTTCGAAGTCTCCCAGCCGTTGCAATCGTTTGCAAATTTCAATCCCTCTATCAATTATCTGAAGAGCATCGCCTAACCTATTTTGAAGGCTTAGTAGCTTCGCAATGCCTTGATACGCAAGTATGACACCGGGGTGGTCTTCCCCATGCACTTGCAGCAGTGTCGCAAGTTGGAATTTGAGTACCTTGGTTGCTTCTGAATATTTACCTTGCTTTCTCAACGAGTCCGCTAGAAGTTGGCACAGGTGCGCCTCGTCATAGTGATTCTTAGGCTGAATTTCTCGCTTGATATCCAGAGCTTTCCGGAACATTGGTTCGGCTTTTTTGTCGTCGTCTTGTGATAGAAGGAGACTGCCAATTTCCGCAAAGGCTTCTGCCGTATCATCATGTCTTCCCAATTTTTTCATACGTATGGCGAGTGCTCTGTTTAATTTCTCTAAAGCTTCATCCGACTTTCGTTCCGTCATCAGAACTTTTCCAATCAAGAGGAGTGTCGAAGCCACAGAAAGATCATCATCGCCGAACTCTTTCGATTGTATCCCCAACGCTCTCTTAAAAATCTCCTTTGATTTCTGATAGTTTTCTTGATAATAATAGGTGATGCCCTTATCAATGAGTTCCTCAACTGAGCAATTATGTTCGTTGCCCTCCATTGCGTCCGTTTTATTCTTCTGCAAAATTGTGATGTTGTGTCGTGAGTTTTCTTCTAAATAGTACTTCTTCAGTTTTATTCCCTTCCTTTTTATCGGTTCGTATTTTCAAATTTACAGTATGTCCATAAAAACAAATCTCAAGTGTATCGTCCTAGTATTAATACTAGTCTTACAATACTATTTTAAAATATATACATGTTAGCATTTCCAGTATTCTTTCTTGCTTCACCGCGATGGAATCAACGAAAAGAAACGATTCGCCAAGCTGGTCAGTGGCTGGGATCTCCACCCTTGATTCGATTCGTTTTGCATGAGTTCCGTCAGGGCTTCTTCTACTTCATCATTGGACAACCTCCTAGCCCATTGAACTGGTGAGTACCCATTGTTGGCTTCCAATGACAATTTGGCGCCATGTCTCGCCAGGACTTGCACCGACTCGACCGAATTGGACCCCGCCGCAAAGTGCAGAGCCGTCCAGCCGTTGCTGTCCCGACAATCCACCAAACACAGTCCACCATCCCGACTGGCATCCGCATCGTCAATTCCCTGCAGCAAAAAGTCCACCACTTTGGATGCCCCATGAAAGGCTGCCGTGTGCAAGGCACAAGTTTCCGAACCATCCGATCCCACATAAAAGGCATCCAAATCCATGCAGTGACTCAATTCCTGGACCGTAGACAATCCCTCATTCAACGAGCAGGCATCCAATAGAGTAGCCACATTGCGGGCTTGTTCGCTGGTGTTCATGGTCGCAAATCGATTCTTTCGTCCCTGCTTGACAATGTCGACAATGGATCCAGTGGCGGATTGAATGGCTCGTGAATAAGCACCCATGCAACCACTGGGCATTTTGCGTGGTTCTTTTGGATCGGCGATGGCGGTTTCATCAGTACTATTCTCATCCACCAAGTCCACTTTTTCTTCACCTTTTTCTTCTTCTCCTCCTTCATGGTAGTGGTCATAGGGATTGGAGAGCATGGGACGTTTCGTGTCGTCAGTAGTTGTAGTACTCCTTGCTGATGGGCGGTTGTTGTTGTTGTTGTTGTTGTTGTGATTGTGGTTGTTGGCATAATGTTTGCCATCCCTTAGAGTTGCTGTCAACGTTTCCTTCATTTCAAATAGAGATGGAAAACGAAATTGAGCTGTTGCTGGTTCTTGTTGGGGCGTTGTGGTGCTTTCTTGTCGGTCATTGTTGTCTTCCTTCTTTTCCTCTCTCTTGCCACCAACACCCTCCCCATCCGACATTTTGTGTGCCGCACCCATGAGACTGCCCACAAACCCAAATCGAAATAGCAAATTGGGGACTTCTCCACTCGACAAAGCCTGTGGCATTTCTCCGCCCAAGTAGGCAGCTCCTACGACCGTCGCTAGTAAAGCAGCCGACGCCAAGGCTTGCGAGGGGGATCCCTCTGGAAATTGATGATGAAAGCCTTGCCGTTGCAAAAAATGTCGCATATAGGCAATGCTGTGGGACAGTGGCATTCGTCTTAGAGTGGAATTCGACTGGAGGTAATCCTCCACAATGGCTTGGGCTTGGGACGGGTCCAGTTTTGCCAACCTGGACAATATAGCGGATCCGGCAATAGCTGTCAATGGATCATGATGGTGATGGTGATGATGATTGGATGACACGACGACATGATCCACCAACAAGGATCGTTGCAATTGTAGTTGCAAAAAGTAAAAGACTTCAAAATTAGGCCGCCGTGCCGTTTCCGAAAAGGAGGCAAGAGATTGAGCATCTAGATAGGTGAAGACATTCATCAGTATATCATGATAGAGTAAATCATCACCACCTTGACTCGTTGAATCGAATGGAATGGTTCGACTGTCTCCATGATCGTCCGAAGACAGATCAAAGAATTGACAAGACGTGTAGGCGTCGTCTTGCTGCTGTTGTTGCTGCTGTTTGCTGGACAACAAATCGGCCATGGATTCATGAGAACCAATAGAAAAGTAACATGAAGAAACCTTGTGCATTCCCATAGATACTGCTGGATGCAATGACGATGGCGGAGGAATTGGAGGAATGCCACTAAACGACATTATGTTGTTTTGATCGACCAAACTGCCAACGCCCTTGAATTCCGATGATTCTTCTTCTACTTCTTGAGACTCCTCAAAGGTCCAATCGTTCTCATCTTCCAAATCTTCCACAAAGACAGAAGGAGCAAAGTCCGGATTCAGTGGTGCTGGTTCTACCAACCACATGCTTGTTGTTGAGTCCATGCTTGATTACTTCAACGAGTCTTTAGTTCTACTTTCACAGAACAAATTTTATGTGTATTTGCCTCGGCCTTTTTATCGTGCTGTTATGGGCACCAAACGCTCGTTATATTTTTTTTCTTTCGTTCTTTGATGATGATTATATTTGTATTCTAAATTCACATGAGAACGGCGAAGCGGTGAAAAATGCTCAGCTGCTCATTTTCCCCACCACGATTGAACACGGTGGCAAAGTTGACTCAGTCGACTACTGACAAACGCAAAACATACAACCAAAACCAAATCCACAAACGCAGCCACTTCAACCACTGCAATATATTATTTCCTGACGCATACGAGTATATTATATATCTGTGGTTATCAAATGCGGTCCATATACACTCTCTTTCTTTGCTTCTTTATTGGTAGTCTAATAAAGACAAACAGCAGTTCTGGAGTCGTCGTTGCTCTATCGTCGTCGTCCGAACATTTGCCAACCGAATGTCATTTGCAACCCACCACCGTTCCACCTCTGTTGGACGTTCCAACCTACAGTCTGGCCACGTATTGTCACAAGAATGGCGGCCAAACGGGCATGAACATTTTGACCTATGCGTCTCCCATTAGCATTCGACCGGATCGCATTTGGGCTCTTGGACTCTACAAGGGAACCTGGACCCACGAGCAATTTGTTTCCAGTGGTGAAGGTGTCTTGCAACTGTTGGCACCAAAACATGCCACACTAGTCAAGGTATTGGGAGGGTCTTCCACCCGAGATGTGAACAAGCAAGAAAAATGTGCCGGGTTGGGGATGCCATGGATTCCATTTTCAGCAGAAACCAATAATGACGAGGAAGAATCGTCGTCGATTCAAGTATTGCCTGGCTGCGTTCACTATTTAAAAGTTCGGCTGGTGGGTGATTTGATTGATTGCGGCTCCCATGATTTGGCCATGTGCAAGGTGGAATCCATGTCTGTACCTTCTGGCGATGTAGGTGGAGGTGATGACGATACCAAACAAGCGTTAATGACCTCGCAACTGAGGGAAATGGGAATCATTACGGCACAAGGACGAGTTGCCGAGGACTAGAGTGGCTGACCGACTGACTGACTGGCTACAAACGATATCTGATGGATTCATTTATTCGATCTAGCAAGAGAGAAAGAGAAATTACAAGTCTACCTATGCACACCTATGGAATTATCATCTATTGTAAATCATCATTCCTTCGCGATCAGGAATGAAGGGCGATGTCAACAAGATCATGCGCCAAGCAACTACGCGGATGCATTGTCAAGATCCAAGGTTTCGGGTGATTCCTCCTTGGCAGCCTTTTTCACCTCCACCTCCCCGTTGTCCTCTAGTGGACCGCTCTTGCCTTGGATTACTGGAATTCGAACGATGTTCTCTTCGATGCGCTTGATGTCCTTGGGTGCTGCCACGACGAGCACCCCATTGTCCAAGTTGGCGGTAAATTGATCGACATCCACTGCTGGATCCAACGAAAAGGTCTGCGAAAACTTTGATGTGGAGCGAGATTCATCACTGGAAGACAAACGCTGTCCGCTCACGGTCAAATATCCATCTTCCAAACTCACGTCAATGTCATCCATTTTGACTCCGGGCACGTCGACTGAGAGTTGAAACTTTTCCTCATTGTCCACAAGTTCGTAGCGCGGAGAGGCCATGATTTTTTGATGACGATCCAAGAAGCGATTGGCCAAGGCACGTTGGCGTTGCATCATGGCGGCTGGATCTGTAAGATAAACTTGTTTGGTAGTAAAGTAGGGTCCCCCTGCCATGCTCCAGGCATCGGCCGTGGCAGCAGTGGTAGAGGCGAGGGCAAGGATTGTAGAGGGAACAATGAACTTCATGATACTAGCACTTTTGAAAAGAGAGAATACTAGCACTTTTCAAAAGAGAGAAAAAACAGGAATTGAGATTGTTGGTAACTCCAAATTGTGAGGCGAGAGTGGGAGTGTCAAAAAAAAAGAGAAATTTTGATCTATTGTCAGGTTCACGATTGCCCAGGTTTTCTTCGAAATTCCACGTACAAAATAGTACTGCGTTCTACGACGAAAATGAGAACCAATGAAAAAATACCACGATGCAAAATTCAAACCCAACCGCGTAAAAGATACCATGTGTCAGTATTATTTTTACTCTACCGTCGGAATATGATCATCATGGAACCATTACCATTGCTGAAAGTTACAGTTGTCTTGGTTCTAGCATCTGAACTGGGTTGGCAAAAGCGACGGGAGAACCATGTCGAAACCTTGATCAGCCGAGAACTAAAGGATGTGGTTGTCGCTTTGTTTCTATTTCTCCTACTATCGCAAATGATCGGCATGGAACCATGGTTGCTTCCAACCATCACGTTTGTTTGGGTTGTAGCATTTGAGCTGAGCCGGCGAAAGCGACAGCAGAACCGCTGTAAAAGTAATGGAAGAGTGATGGATGGTGTAGTTGCTTTGACTTGGTCGGATAACAAGCCCATCCAATGCTGGAACCATTGAAACTCCAATTTCGAAATCAATTGGATTCCTCAAAAATGAAGATATAATAGGATACACGATGTTGTGTACCAAACGAAAGATAGCTGGGTTCCAGCCCATGAGAACCAAGCCGATCTTAATGATACCAACAGTCAAGCAATAGAGAGGTAAACGATTATATCAACCTTGAAAAAGTTTCACAAACATTCGTAGCCTCTAGTTTACAAAACAAAGAACATGCACATTGTTTTCATGTGTGTGCATCACACTATTTGGTGGTCTCTCTTTGTTGTATCGAAGCTTGTATAAAATGAACAAAGAAGTAGGCCTTGAGAGCCCAGCCTCCGTCAACCTTGATGACATTCCAGTCAAAAAAGTACCATCGTCGGATGCAAGCATGGTCACGACACTGGCAACTTCGTCCGATTTTCCGGCACGGCCAACCAGTTGAGCGCCTTTTGCCCACCCGTTGGTAGTCTCCTCGTCCATGTCTGCAATATTGGTAGCAACGATTCCTGGAGCAACAGCGTTGACCCGAGTGCCATCCTCAGCAGCCCCTTTAGCGGCGTACTGGACCAGCATGTCGGCACCGGCCTTTGCTGCGGAATACATGGACGATCCAGCAAAGGTTGCACGTGCCACCGATCCCATGCAAGATGTATTGACAATCACGGATCCCTTGCCAGGAGAATCCTTCATTGCCGGAAGGACATGCTTGAGTCCCCAGGCAACGGATTTGTAGTTGGCATTAAAGACACCATCAATATCTGATTCTTCAATTTCGGTATTCTTCTTTGAAGCGTACATACCAGCATTGAGAAAGGCAACATCAACAGCCCCAAACTCCTTTGCAGCAGCCACCATTTTCTTTGCGGTGTCTTCAGATCCGACATCGCCGGCAACAATGGCGACCTTGGTTCCAGCCGCTTCAATTTCCTTTGCAACTTCCTCAAGCTTGGCTTGCGTACGAGAAACAAGGACGATTGCCTTGGCTCCTTCCTTCGCGAACATGAGAGCTGTGGCTTTGCCCTGCAAATGGCAACGACTGCAAGTCAGCCAAAATGTCGTATCAAATCATTTATGAACCTTTTTAAAGAAGCAGTTGAAGAAAGCCTTACCATACCCGAGGTACCGCCAGTGACGATAGCGACTTTTCCACTCAATTTCCCTGTCATCTTCAATAGTTTTGATTCAATTTCTGTTGTGGTACAGTAGTATATTTTGTTTTACTTGTTGCGGCTTTTCTGCTACTTCTTGTTTTTTATGAACTCAACCTTTTCAAATCCCAACGATCCACGATCCTAGATGCGAGGATCGAAGATGTTCTTCGATGCATCGAAGTTGGTTTGAGATAGGCTACCAGTACCAGTACCATAGATACAAGAAGCCATCCGATGCATATTCAATCATAGTTCTTCTGATTTGCCTTTTCGTCTTGCTGGTTGCCACATCTAGCTAGGCCTGTCGACACCTCATGGTTTGTCGGAAACAGAGGTGTTACAAGTGACACAGTCCGCTGGTGGTTCGTTTGATGCCTGTCGCGCTTCATACGCTTCCACCAGCGATTCCAAACTGGACCCTCGGGTGACACTGGTGCGATACTTTGCAAACACATCATACCCCCATTGGACAATGGGCTTGGTGATGGGCCACTCGGTGAATCGAAAGAGCCATCCCAGTCCTACCAAATCGTAGGCAGCTGAAAAGACTGCAACTCCTTCCACTACTTGGCCGTCGGGTCTTACGGCATGCATGGACGCCATGGCATCGGCGTAGGTTACACCTCCGTTTGCGGGGTCATTGGAATTGTAACTCTCGTCTTCCAGATCAGTCAGTTTGAGCTTTCTTGGCTGTGATGCTTTCATAGCAAGCGATTCGTCTCTTCTGGCTAGAAAATCCATTTCGAATTTGCAAACATTGCATTTGGAGTCGTAGAGGATGTTGAGTTCTTCCGGAAAGAGTCGCTCGGCGGGAGAAGTGGACGAAGACAACCTTCGAGATGAAATCGGTTGCCATTTCGGATTCACAATAAAATAATTAGCGCTATTCGTTTTCCTTGAGATGTGTCGTGGCCATGTCGAGGGCGATTGCACGTGGGATGGCACTGCAAATGAGCGAATAATGTTGGTCGATGTCTTTCGAACAATACAAGTTGATGTTCTGTTTGATATTGGCATTCCCTTTCTCGACAGTCTTTGTTGATGCGCCACGCCGGAGCGTACTGCGTTGTTTGAAATCATATTGATGAAGGTGGTCTAAAAGTGATACTTTGTGCAGTGTCAACAAATTAGCATCCAAGAAAACAACCTTGAGGCCAGCTCATCATGAGATGAACGAAACTTTCACTTTCAACTTCTTGTCTGCGCTGACGCATTTTCCATTCGAAGGAGTCAGTCAAATGGGACTACAGATAGCTCTGTACGAACTGTAGCCATCATTAGTATCTTGTCAATCATATCGCAATCAATGACATGCGGTGACACCTGACACCTTCTCTCTGATTGCACCATAAAACAACGTAATAGACAATATGAAACTTGGATTTTCTTTATCACCAGGAGGTCTTCTACTTCCCTATCATCTTGGTGCCTTGGCATCCTTGGCCTATCACGGAATTCTCAACGAGGACACTCCAATCGCTGGTTCGTCGGCAGGTGCCATCGCCGTGGCTTCTCACGCTGCGCAAGTCCCATCGCATCAAGCCCTAGAAGCATCCATGAAAGTCTCCTCCTCTTGCAATCCCCTCTTTTTGGCTTCGGGTGGATTGATGCCTCGACTCCGTTTGGAATTGTACAGGCTGCTGGGTCCAGACGCTCACCAAACCATTCAAGAACGACCAGGTTTGGTTGGACTAGCACATCTTCAAGTGTATCCTAAGATATCATCTCAATTGGAAACGGAGTTTAATTCCGAAGAATCGCTCGTCAATGCTATTTGTGATTCTAGCATGTTCCCATACTTTACGAGCAATCGACCATGGAACGTTTACATGAATTCAGGCCTTGAACGCACTGACCACAACCGCCCGAAACAAAGACGATGGAACAGAGGATGGTCGAGAAAATCTCCTATTGCAAAAGTAACCATGGATGGCGTCTTTACGGAGCCTGCATTTCGATTTGGGTGTCCTGACATTCGAGACCATGTGGATCGTGAAATCAAAATCATGGTCTGCCCTCAAGAACTGCCAAATCTACTTTCCTTTGGAGATCCGTCGTCATTCGCCTTTAGCGATGACCCACAAGTTGTATCCCAATTGGATTCAAGCCGATTTCATAGTGAGGATGTCATTGCGCCGAAGCTGGAGCACAATGTCATGGCCCAAGCATCCAAACTAGGATTAATGGCAGTTGGTCCTGCTCCGCGCAAAACCTTAGCAAGTCTCTACGAAGCAGGGTTTTGTGATGCCGAACGATGGGTTCGAAAGGAAGAAAGTCGGAATTCATAACGTCAGTAGTCTAGAGTAGTATACCTATCGTGGTAGAGCTTGGGATGTCGAACGACCCGTGGTGCTTTGATTGCCGATGATGATTAGCTCGATTTAAAAAAATTGTTCAATCGTATTCCGAATTGATGAGACACATCCAGTCCTTTTTGGCCAGTTAGTCCATACACAACAGTCTCGTATGCGCTATGTTTCCAAGGAGTATTTCTCGACAAGTCTGAAAATTCGCTGCATCCGTTGAAAGCATAATAGCGGAGTAACAGCCATTTGATGTCCAAAAATCAGACCCCCAATTGAATCCCGTGGATCTTCCGCGATACTTTGCGCTTTCGTCGTATGGCATGGTAGAGCCATACTTGGTAATTCAATTTGAAATTTTGCCTCTCTCGATTTCACGCAGCTTCACTCTTTCAAGTTCGTCCAAAAAAAAGAATAGACGTGTGCCATGAAGATTATTGCGAAAGTAACCATCCTCTTGCTTCACCTCGGAACAGGAGCAGCCTATCGGCGTCGTCTAAAGGGCGAATCGCCCTCCAATGCTGGTCTTCCAACTTGGAGTCCTTCCATGAAACCAACAAAAGTAGACTTGAAGGTTGGAAAAGAAAAAGGCGTCGCTAGCAATCCCGGCAATGACGAGCTCCCGGAGGTCACATCTATAGCACCCGCGGATTCTAAAGGAGATCCGAAGGGCAGCAAGGATGCTCAGCCCTCACTTCGACCAACTATGCTTTCAATTCAACCCGACCCATCACTGGTGCTCACGCTCCCACCAACCAAGGACCCAAAAGGATCCACAGATCCAAAGGGCGCTCCAGAAGACTTGGGCACTCTGGACGAAAGCACGGGACTTGAAGAACCAAAGGGAGCTCCAAAGGGATCGGGTACAGTGGATGACACCGATTCCGATACAATGGATGACAAAGAGTTTGAGTCAAAGGGAGCTCCAAAGGGTTCGGGTGAAGTAGATGATATCGGCTCCGACGCCGCGGATAACACACAGTTTGAACCAAAGGGAGCTCCAAAGGGCTCGGGTGCTGTAGACGACACAGAGTCTGAGCCAAAGGGGACTCCAAAGGGAGTAGACACTGAGAAAGAGGCAGGACTTGCACCTAAGGGAGCACCAAAAGGTTCGGGTACAGACGAAGACACGGGAGCTGATCCAAAGGGAGCACCAAAGAAGGGTCCAGATTCAAACGTACCCCCAACCAAGAAGGCATCGGCACCTGTTGAAGTTCACATGATTGGTGTGAAAGTAGCTTCCAAGCACAATGGTAGTGCCGTAGTTGTCAGCACCACTGACGACTGTTCTGCAGCAGCAAGCAATAATATGATGGCAAAGAAGCTTGCGTTCTCTACCCCGTGTTCAGACCCAACAGTTTGCGGAATTACGGGAGGTACCAAGAAGGGAGCAGGAAAGCGGAATTTGAAAAAGGGTTCCTGCAGCAAGTCTTCAAAGTCAAGCTCCAAAAAGAGACATATTTGATCCCAATATTTGCACCTTCAACAGCCTTAGGTTGATTTATAGCCCCGACGGATATCCTCTTTTCTTATTCCAAATCAATGTAGAAATGCAATTCGTCATGCAATACTCGCGAATCACCAAGAGCAGTGTTTTCCTCCATGATTTCTTGCAAAAGGTCGAACGATTCATAGTCCACAACTTCTCCAAACACGGCATGACGAGAACCCTCGTACTTGACAGCATCTTCATAGAGATTGATGAAAAATTCGGGACCTCCCGGTGCTCCTCCCACCCAGGCGACCATTCCTCGCTGCAAGATGGGGCCCTGGCATTCACAGTCTTCGCAATTTTCTCTGGGGTTGTCGTCATCGTACGGGTTCCTTTTCTCTTCCTCATTTTCTTTGTTCTCGTCTTTTTCTTCATTATTTGCGTCCGGATCGTGATAATGACGATGAGATCCTTCTGGACAAATTCCTCGTTGAGTATTGAGCGGTACCGACTTCAAGTTTTGCATGACACCCAAGATTACTCCTTCCCCTGGGTCATCGCTGTGTTGTCGAGCAAGGCGGTAGAGCGAGCATGAAGCACATTTATGCTGAACCAGTCGATGGAAGTAATCGACCGATCCAGGTGACCATTCAGGCCGTAGCTGAACACGGATTTGCCGATTGTAAAAGAGAGGGAATGTCAATATCAATTCTCCCTTGACAAGTTGTTCGGGAGGCTGAATGGGAAACGGCTTGGTACCCATCAATCCAGAGGATGAAAGAGATGAAAAGGACTGCGATTTTCCAAGAGAAAATTTTGATTGGCCCCATGCTTTGTTCCTCAAGTTATTGCTTCGAACAGAATGCGAAGTCACCAGTTCGTCCCATAAGGATTTGACATGTCCATTCTTTGAGAGAGAACTTAGAGACATATGAAGGTAATACTTTGCAAATATCGTGCAAGCCATCAGCCAAATCGCGACAAAAGAAAGCATCACCTTTGTCAAGAAAGAAACATTCATTGTTATACGGTAAACAAAACAGCCAATTGAGCTTCTCTCCACGTATGTCACTGTGTCCAATGATGCTGTTTATGTTCAACAGTACCAGGTACGGTACGCTATCTAAGATAGCCTACTGCCGTCCTCTGCGTGTTTGTTCGTAGAGTTTTTGTCTTGGTGGTTGTGGTGTGAAGCGGGTCGAACTGATCGAGTAATCTCAGAAATCCCGTGTGTGAGAAAAATTGAATTACACAACACAATCAATTTCAGTCGATAAACTGCTGGGCAGCATTGCCTCTTGGCTCATCGACAACCTACTTTTGACAGCGAAGGCCGCTCGGCCTTCGTCCGTCTGTAACACAATGTACCGGTAGTCAACATTCTGGATTATTTTGAAATGTCGAAAGGGGGTATCCGACCCCGTTTGTTCACCCCCGGGGCGCGTGGCCAGACGTATGACGTCACGATAGATCGTATATATATTATTTGATCTACGCTATGTGCGCTCCAATATATATGCCTGTTTCTTTACCGGAACAGTTGAATTTGTTCCTCCGGTGTTATGTAATATTCCGGTAGGATCGGACCCACCAGAAAATCAATCCTCAGTACCAGTTCCGCCGTAAGAAACCGGATGACCGCATTTTCCCGAACTATGTCCCTTTCACTTTTCGGCAAAGAACACCGTTTATGACAACAACTTTGCAACATGGTTTCCACTTCCACAAAAGGTATTCAACGAGATATGCCACCCCACGGAGGAATAAACGAACCATTCAAAGTGTCACCTAACAGTAGTCAGGATGACACAGTACCAACAGAGCGAGGGCGCAAGCTTTCGAAATTAAACCAGCTTCAGTCCGGTCTGAAGTCTGGTCTGAATCAAACCGGACAAGGTCTGAAGACTGGCCTGAATCAGACTGGACAAGGTCTGAAGAATAAGTTGCAGGCGGGCTCCAACATGTTGTTTAACCTTGGCGAGAAAGACCATGATGCATTGAAAGACGATGATTCTGAAGGTGACGCTGCGAAGAGCTATTCAAACGACCAGGTAGTATGGTACAAGTCCAAAGGAAAGAAGAATAAAAAAGCAACGATTTTGGAGATTGATGTGGGTCCAGATGGTCAGGCATTCTACACAATCAAATTGAACGATTGTGGCCGTGAGAAGCAGACGGATGACGCTCATCTCGAACCACTAGGGCCCAACGATGCGGCGGAAGACGATAGCCGTTCTCGCTTCAAAACTGGCCAAGTTGTCTTCCACAAACCCGGCGATGGTGCCCCCATTTACCTGGTACAAATATCCAGGGTATACCACGATGGCGATGGCCAACCACTTTACGAGATCTCAATGCAAGGAAGCAATCTCAAAAAGTCTTCCATCAGAGAGTCTGATTTGCTCGAATTGCACGAGGTTCCGGCAACTGGTACCAACGCACCAGCTCAGTCTCCATCCAACCATTCTCGCAAGAGCTCTCGCAAGTCTAGAAGCCCCAAACGAGGAATTAAGAAGACTCTTAGTTCAGAAGGCTTGGGTAAACTCAAGCGAGGTATCAAGAAGGCCAGCAGTATGGATGGCTTGGACCAAATGAGGAAAGCAGTCCGAGGCGCGGGTCATGCCGCGGGTCATGCGAAAGCAACTTTGGTCAAAGCTGCCCATCTTCCGTTGAGTCGCCATCACTCAGGATTATCGTCTAAAGACGGCAGTGAGGAAATGTCAAGGCAATCCTCGTTTCGATCGCAACACAGCACTGAACAACGAACGAGAAATCCAAGAGTCAAGAAAAGCAGAAGTATGGAAGGCATGCGAGAAATGATGCACACAGGAAAGCAGCATCCCTCAGATGGTCATCTCGATGGCGTCCGTGTAAGAAGACCCGGAGTCAAGAAAACGAATAGTATGGAGGGATTGGTGCGAACGTCCAAACATGGACCATTGCGCAAGGCGCCTGCACCATCTCAATCTATGATGTCTATGAATAGCCAACATTCGCAGCATTCTGGGCATCGCTCAGTACGATCTCAGCGCCCTCAACCTCGAACCCAAGCAGAGAAAAACAAACTCGATCGAGAGCGTGGTGTACAGAGAAGCAAGAGTTTGGAAGGAATGCACCCACGAAACCTACGTCGTCCAACTTCAAGAGAACGCTTAGGACATCCTCCTAATAGAGGTGTCGAACAGAACAACAGCTGGCACAAGGAACCCGGTGACCGTAGACCTCCAGCCCGCACAGCCTCTGGTGACCGTAGACCTCCAGCCCGCACAGCCTCTGGTGACCGTAGACCTCCAGCCCGCACAGCCTCTGATGACCGAGCCAGAGGAGGTGCACCACTTCAGAGTGCCACTTGGAACGCAGCACAACGGCCAATCCGACGACAACAGTCTGCCGACGGCAAGGGAATCCGACGACCAGTGCCACCACCACCGCCAAAGGCCAGCACACCGCCCATCCGAGCTGTGAAGAAGCCAGCGTATGATTCTGATTCCGAAGAATCTTCCATCAGCTCTGTCTCTTGGCAAGAACCAAAGCCCCAGTCCTTCAGCCGCACCAAGGTTCCTCCTAAGAGGGAAACTCCCAAGCCAACCGAGATTACGGTGGACATGGATGACGCATCCGCTGTGTCTTCTAGTGATTCCTCTTGGGAATCTTTCCGAGAACGGCCCGGCCAGCGCAAGGCTTATGACATGGAACGCAAGCGGCGGGAACAAGTGGTCAAGCCAAAGCTGGTGACTCATGACACCGAAATCATTGGTTTTGACTGTATCACCGGTGTTGAAGTTCGAGTGCAAAACGTTTACTCCTCAGATGAAGATTCGCAAAGTTCTGAAGAGTATGAGTTTGAACCGGAAGAATTATTCAATTGGGCAGACTAGAAAAAGTATCAGCATAGGTCCTAGTGTAAATAATCATCGAATATAGATTTTAAATTTCTGGCATTACTGCACTTTTGTAACTCAGCATCTATATGGTTGATGCGGTGATGAAGAGACCGGGGGCATCTTTGGTAGTCTCCTCTCCATGCAAGATTTTCAATTTGGCTGCAATTTTCATTGGATGGTGAAGCGGAGAAGCGAGGAAGAATAGTCCGTGAACGTGAACGGAGTTACAGTACAGCACACGTTCGATCACATCGATTACAATAGTAACAACACCGTGACTCCTCCTCCTCAGTTCATCGACATTGTTGAGTTGATACAGTACTGTACGTTCGTGGGTGACTTGAAGCCGCAAAGGAGAGCATTTTGTTCAAATGTCCTGAAACGAGGTAATACTCTGAAAGTTTATGGCAGATCATGATGTCCAAACGGTCTCCCAGTCGCACAATGGAAAGCTTTGAAATTGAAAATGCTTCCAGCAGTGCTTCGGACGAGGCTGACTACAGACATCCTCATACGGCCTCCTCCGCACAAGATGGATTTGCATCGTCATTTGGCCAAACCACAAAGCGGCGACAGCACACGATATTCGAGCAACAACCTAGTATTGCAAAGGCGAAGAAATTGGCAATTGTGCGATACGTTGGCCTCTCAACTCTGGCTGTGATAGCCTCCGTCATATGCCCAGGCAATACGATATTCTGGCAGGATCCCAGTTCCACCCAATACTACAGCCTCGAGATCACAGTCATCTATATTATCGTCATGATCTCATTTTTCAGTCTACAAGATTCTGATCCTGGATGGCTCACAGCAACCATCCTGGAACAATCGATTGAAGGAGGCGAAGCACTTCTTGGCAAGGAATCAGTCGACGTAAATGGTAAAGAAGAACGAGAGACACAAGACGCTACTCACGATGATTTAGAAAGTGCTATTGGCGGAGGAGCTCAGTCAACCTTGCAAGCCACCGCACTACACGAAACACCTGGCATGAAAAATGACCCTCTTGCATCGCCATCCAACAAAGCGTCAATGGAGGAAGAGTTCGGTGCATTTGGATCATCGGTCGCTCCATTGGCGCTAAAGTATCGTAAAGGATGTGTCCTCTGCGCTATTCCAAAGCCACCTTTGCGTTCTCATCACTGCAAAATATGCAATAAATGTGTTGCTACTTTTGATCATCATTGTGGCTTTTTGGCCACATGCATTGGGGAACGCAACCACGTTCGCTTTTGGATCTTTGTCGGTCTCAATGTGGTATCCATCCGTATCTGCTGTGAAATTGCCAACTCTTCCGACTACGGAATGACAACGATGCTATTCAAGAACCAAGGACAAGCGCATGACAACAACCAACTCATTCTTCTATCATTTATGGTCGTTCTCACGAAGATTTACTTTTATCTTGTGTGGCTAGTCGCCCATATCCTATTTGTGACTCATACCTTTTTGATTTTGGCGAACAAGACAACCTTTGAAATGAACATTGGGAACAAACTGGATTACATGAGGGACACAAAGCCAGCGGACTGCATCTTTTCCAAAGGATGTTGGGAAAACATTCGCATTCGCTGTTTTCTGGATGCGATGTGCGACACCTCTTCTGCTGCCAGGACTTCACCGTGCTGTAAATTCTGTCCCGGTGGCAAAAGCCAACCTTTCCACTCTTCTGGAGACGATGACCACGATGATGCAAATTATTGGAGTCCCATGATATGGAAACGGGAAGAAAACATAATACGAGATTCAGAGGACTGGTGGAATCACCCATGGCAAAATAAGTATTGGCAGTGTTGTTGATAGAAACCATTAATGCATTTAAATTTTATCCTGACGATGCATCCTGACTATGCACCTCTCTAATGAAAGGAATTATCGCGCGAGGCACCAAACTCAAAGTCACAGTAGCACGCCAGCCTATGTTGAAAAAGAATTGGGTAGACAAAATAGAAACGTCTTGTCATGACGAACAGCGGTGCCCCCCTTAGAGTCATCGTCGACAAACCAGCACAATCAACGGCATGGCTGCTGACGGAATAACCCCAAACGAAATGACTTCCCTCACTGATCGTCATTCGGTACCTTACCGATCGTCCTCTCGAAAACATTGGTTTGAAGAAGAGCGACGGCAACTCCTCTTGCTGCTGACAGAGCCAGAGTCTTCGTGGGGAGCATCCTTTTTCTTTGTTATTCTGATAGCGCTGATCACATTTTCCAATGTTTTGATGGTTATTCAAACCATGGATTCCTGGCAGTTTGTCCCTACGGATTGCGTCACCTGTGGTGGCAATGTTTCCTACATGTTTGAAGACGACGACCAAGTGGAGATGGTCACTGTCGGCTTTTGCATGTGCCCACCGGCGCCGCTCCCAATCACCGAGACGTTTGTAAGGTACATCATGTTTTTCTTTACTGTTGAGTGGATCTTGCGCGTCGTTTGCTTCACATCGGATCCGAATGAGACCAAATCGCACATACGACAATTGTATGACTATATTACGTCGATGTCAATGATGCTCGACTTTTGGGCCTGTTTTCCATACTATCTCGAAAGTATCAATATACAGTCGCTGGTCAGCTTGAGATTGCTGCGACTTCTCCGGGTTTTCATGCTACTACGGTTGGGAATGTATAATTCCATGATGAAAACACTCACCAACGTCCTCACCAAGGCTGTGGAGTACTTGAAGCTTCTTGTATTATTCCTCATCTTCGGTGGCGTTCTCTTTGGATCCGTTGTGTATTGGGTGGAACGTGGGCACTGGAAGTACTTTGAACCTGCGGACAGTTATCAGTTTGTTAGAACAGCTGTGGATGGCGTGACGGAAGAAATCAGTCGTAAGTTCTACAGTATCATAATCTCGAGAGTCCGCAGGCGCTGTGGGTATACACGTGTACATCATCCTCTCACATAGTGGTTGCCTTTGAAATACAGCTTTTCGGTCCATCCCCAAAGCGATGTGGTGGTTTGTTGTGACCGCCACTACTGTCGGATACGGCGACACTTATCCTACCAGTACTGCTGGCCAGTGTTGTGCGGCACTAGCCATGCTCACGGGTGTTCTTGTCATTGCCTTCCCCGTGAGTATCTTTTCCGATTTATGGCACGAAGAAATGAAAAACAAACACGGAGGCAAAGACAGTTTTGATGACGATGGAAATGATTGGAATCAGACGATGGCACCAGCATCAAATGATAGCTCCAAGGTGGTGATGGACAAGAAAGACTTGAAAGCAATTGCTGAGTGTTTTCGTGTCATTCGGGAAAAGGAAGATCGGCTGTCGACGATACTTTCCAAGTACAATATGGATGGAGAAATGAAAGAAATTCTCTAGTATCAACTTTCCATGCAGCTACTGATACAACTGATACAATGGGATGCTTGCACTGCTTCATAATTGGGAATTGCATCCAATTCTCGAAGTGTTGGGCCATCTCTCAAGTCCGTCGTCGGCGAAGGGCCGTTTGCCTGACCAATGGGGTTTCTTCGCTTTCTGGTATGGCGGAAAGGGTGACAACGCTGCTATTATTTCTCGGGCTTGCCGCACTTTCATCTGCTCGGATAATCGGCTTGGTCACTGATCGTGGTAGAAACAGTAAACGCCCCAATACCAAACCGAGCAATAGGCTCCCAAATAGTTCCACACTGTACATCATTGTAACCATCATCGCAATATATCCTAGCCACTGTTGTAGCGCATATAGCAGAGGCATTGTAAACTTTCGTAGGCGTCCTGTGCCAAGAAAAGGACGAAGCCAAGTTTGAAAGTTTGTAACTGCTTCAGTCATCATTCCCAGTAGAAACGTATACACCATCGCACCCGTAAACTTTCCGCTGTCGTCGAGTTTCCATGCTGGGACAAAGTAATTCAAACAATCAGGCTTGGTGTCGTGCTTTCCAAGGGACCATTGGAAGCCACCCATTGCCATAACCATGAACATACCATTGCAGAACTTGTCGCCTGATGGCAACTCTAAGGGCTGGATGTACCATTCTGCATTGTCTGGAGCACTAACACTTCCTTCTAGCGCCCGTTGCCAATGACTTGAATTCTTGATGAGCCAAATACTACCATTATCAGCTGCCATTCCGTCATGCGCTTTGAGGCCGGCAAGAATGAATGTTGAAGAATGGAAATTGAGTTGTGACAAGTCCGAGACTATCATAGGATTGCCATCAGAGACCAATTTCTTCCCAGTTTTGTCCTCAAGAAATTCCTTCAACATATCCATTTGATCACCAATTGTCAGTCTTTCACTTTCATTTTCATGGTGGCTGAGACGATGAAGTGGGACTTCTGTTATGCCCCGCGTGTGTAACCCTTCAAAATCTATTAGCGCTGATTTCTCAGTTGAAGCAAAAACACAGGCTGTACCAGCTGTGATAATTGCACCAAGGGTTCGTATCCTCATGATTGATTAAGTTGGCAATCTAAAACGTCTCTTCTTTTGCTCTATGTATCTCCTTCGATTATACAATGATGTAAATAATGCGGTTGTGTTCTTGTGGACTCACTTAGTCGTTTTGCAGGTGTCGACTCAGACGACTAATGCAAGTTGAACCTCTGCTTTATCTTTGATTCTCCCTTCATGGTATCAATGTTGGATTGTCTGCTGTTGCTGTTGTTGATATCCGTCTCTGCAAGCCAACAAAACAGCACTCAATGAGACACCAGTCATTCTTCAAGGCGCTACTCTGCATCTTTTGTTCATATTCTGTGCAATCTTTTGTCCCAACAACACAGTCAAGTCAATGTTTTTCATCGCCGACGGCATCCGAGAATAAGATCATAGTGGCCCTTCATGGGTGGTTTGATAACTTTTGGCAGACACCGGAAACGTCTTCATCTTCGCGGCAGATTGAATATCCAGAGCAGTATCCAGCAACCTACGAGCCAAACACTGCCAGCGTTGAAGGAGATGCTGGTGACGAAAACAAGGAATTCCTTCGACAACTGCTCAAGAATACCCAACTGGAGTCTAGACCCGTGGTTTTGGCATACGATGCCAACAAGAATGGTTGGACGGCTCAAGCATTTCATCGCGCCGTCGATGGCAAAGGAGCTTCAATCGTACTAGCAACAACATCGGATGGTCGGAGCATTGGTGGATATAACCCCAAAGGTTGGGCTTCCTTGGGTGGTGCTCGGCCGTCTGTGGCATCCTTTCTCTTTTATACAAAGTCGTCTGATAAACAGCAACAACAATCCTGGCAAAAACTCCAAAAGGTAGGTGGTGGTGGATTGGCCTGTGCCAAGGATGATCCAGATTGTGGAGTTTGGTTCGGTCCCGACGCTCTGGTCATTCCACTTTTGGACGATGGAAGCAATCGAATAGCGCAGAGCAAACTGGGGCCATATTTTGAACGTGGACCGGGTAACTTGCCTAGTTTATTCTCAGGTGGAAGCACCGAACTAAAAGACCTGAAGATCTATGTTGGGGTATATGACTCAACAGAAGAGATACCATATTCAGGGGGTGTGTTGGATATGACTTCTGGATAGTTAGTTTCGAATATGATTACTCTTTGAAGGGGATCAATATTATTTCGATTCTAGATTGATATGGAACACAAGTGCCGAAATGAAATGATATCTTGATATATAAAAGTTGCTGTTAATAGTGTACATATTATATGATTCTAGCCCACATGATTGTGGAAATATATGGTTTGTTGGTCGTTTATATCCAGACTTCAGGGTTGCATTTAGAAGCCTCCGTGCGAGTTGCTTCGGTGGCATCCCAAATGCCCTTGTTGTAGGCTGCTTGAGCAGACTTGGATGTGTAAATCTTGTTGAACTTTTCGACCCATTGATCATTCAATACTCTGTTCTTTCGTTGTTCCTTCAAGATTGCATTGACAACAAAGTGTATTCTTTGCTTTCGCTTGCTTCGTGCTTCGGGCATGAGGTTCTCCAATCCACGGAAATAGTCCTTGTCCGAGATTGGGAAATTGCCTTCCGTCACCATGGCGTCGAGTGTGTAGAAGTTTTCTTGTTCAATGCGTCGAAAGTCTTTCTTGTTCATCCAATAGGCTTCTTTTTCTTTCTTCTTCATGTCCTTGGCATGTGGGATTAGATACAAGTCCGACATGACCGAGAAGGAAACCGATTTCTTTTGGCGCCCTTCGTGTTCTTTAAAAAACGATGATGGCGATGATGATCGTTCAAACGATGATGGAGATTCATCTAGATAGAAGTTGGTTTCGTCAATAAGTGGTGCCATTGTTGTTGTTGTTGGTTTCGTGTTGTGGTTGTTGTGTCAGTTTTGTTGTTTGTGGTTTGTGGTTTTGTGTTCCTGTCGTGGAAGTTTTGAGAGATGTGGAAAAGGTGATGGCGTTCTCACTCGGAAAGTTTTGACTCTTGTGGGATTTGATGCGATCGCCAAGGTTGGATGTGATTGGCCGTTTTGGACACTCGGAACCGGTTTTGACCTAGTCGGTTTAATCGATAAAATTCGGTTATGCGTTAACCAAATTTTACTTAGGGGCAATTTGCACCCATCGGGAATCATCAGTCACATTTTGGTCGCGAACGACTTGTGCTGCATCCTCTTCCGTCCACTAACCCACGACTGTAAAGCGGTTTTGGTACGCACGTTTGGCGACTGGAGATGCTTTGGCGAAAGGAACTTCTGGATTTTTGGGATCAAGATCCGATCTCGCTCTATTTACATTCGCAAGTCATTCGTTTTATACTACATAATCCGGCGACAGCGGAATAACGTTTGGCGACTGAAGCACTTAGGATATCTAAGAAACCGAAGAAGGTTTTCTTGGTCTTCGGTTTCTTGGCGAATGAAAGCTTGCTTAGCTAGATCTGTGGTTTCGTGTCGACATTGAATCGAATGTATACTACTCTTTCTAATTCTAAGAGCATTTATCTGTTCAGCAACTTCTCGCTTGCTGGATAGTCGTACATCTCTATTGGAACAGTACCACCAGGTGACGACGATGGTTGAAGATTGGAAAAAACTAGTATTATTAGTACTAGTGATGTTCTTGATTCCATGATGCCGGTCAAGATACTTTCGTGAAAATTGCTTGTTGTCGAACTTGTTCAAATTCTTGTTCTTTTTTTCGTTTCTGCAATCTTTCGTGGATGGAGGTGGTAGACAACCCATGTTTTGACACACACTCCTCCTCCAGTGGTAAGAAAACCAGGTCCTGCACGTGGAGGGCAAATCCCGCCCGTCCGCCTGCATGCCAATGATATATATATGCCATTCTACGTGATTGAAACTAGGCCCAACCTTCCACCTGATGAGCCCGTCAGCCCGTCTCATCTAATTGTAAATCGTGTTTGGACTTCTTCGAAACGACAAAGAGCGCATGATCAGATGAAAACACCACGAACATACTGTATTCCATAGTTCCAATTCTCAGTAGACAATTCAAGCTGCTAGGAATCAATCAACACAACGTTCAAACAGTCTAGTTATCACGATACACATGATTCATAAGAAAGAAACGGTTGCTGGTCAAGAGCATGGGGAAGTACTGCTTGAACACGATTCCGACGGCAGTGTGGAAGTGCTAAGTCAAAACTCGACAATCACGTACGAAATTGGAGATCATGTCTACCGATGGCAGTCGTTTTTGGGAGTGCCATTTCATACACAACAACATGGAATTGTAGTGGCATGCGAGAGCGACTCTATAATATTGGCTTTGGTGCGAAAGCAGTATGCCTTTGATTCGGGTGTGATAGACACCGTGCTGAAAGATGATGCGGATGCGGAATTCTGCATGTTCCGAGAACGAATACCTCTGCACGAGGCCCGAGAATCCTGGCATAAGATTCCCTATGGAGTCCCATGGACGAAGCGATTGTTTACCAGAGCCGGAACAGCCAATCCCATCAATGCAGACCCTGTGGAAGAAGTCATGAGCCGGATTGCCTTTGTCTGGAAAAATTCTGCATTGTTGAGGAATATGGGTATGGAGCATACCAGCGAAAAAGACATTAGTGAATGTGTCGTTGTTTGGTGTAAGACGGGGAACTTTCATTCCTATCATGGACTTGCTAAAGTGGGTCATCATGGCGCTGATATGGGCTCGAATGCTACAATGGCAGGCAGTATTGTCTCTCAGATCGTCGCGAGTGCAGTAGTACCCATTGCCGCTCCAGTCTTTGTGGTATATGACCTCGCCAATACGGTGAAAAGCATGCGAGCAAGCCAACAATGCCAAAAGGAATGGCGACGGATAACATGGGAATGGAATGATCGTTATTCAGTGACCAAAACTTTGAAAGCAGAGTCACATGATGATCCAACGCAACGAGAAGAGGACCAATCAACAACGGAGCATTCCGTTGCAAATTAAAAGTAGAGTTGGTGCTGAAGTCGTGTCAGCATCTTCGAATGATCGTTATTCAGTGACCAAAACTTTGAAAGCAGAGTCACATTATGATCCAACGCAACGAGAAGAGGACCAATCAATAAAGGAGCATTCCGTTGCAAATTGAAATTAGAGAGTTGATGCTAAAGCCGTGTCGGCATCTTCAAATGAACGCTGTTTCGTGACCAAAACTTTGAAAGCAGAGTCACATGATGACCCAACGCAACCAGAAGAGGACCAATCAATAACGGAGCATTCCGTTGCCAACTGAAAATATAGAGTTGATGCTGAAGCCGTGTCAGTATCTTTTTATATGTTATTAGTATTCTGTATAGTAAAGTAGCCAAGAAGATTTAGAATTGACCCAATTTCATAATTATCGATTTAGATCAATCTTCACTATAGCTAGTAGGATGCCAATGCAGGTTGCCCACGTTCTCCAACAATTCTCTCTCCAGTTGCCACAGATTCACCATTAGCATCCAGAATGGTCATTGCTTTCCCATCAGCAGAAAAGTTTATGGCAGCCCATCCAGTTGCCATGCTCTGTCTGATCGCCTTCTCCACCACATCGTAGGGAGGAATGGGTTTGCTTCGCGTGCTCGACACCACATCGCTTCCTTCGACGGAAGACATCGAAATTCCGTTTTCGGTAGTATCAAAGTTCTTTCCAATGGATAGAATGTTGCATACCACGACTGTCAACGTCACTTTGTCGTCTTTGGTGGGATTCACCGTCAGCTTAATCTCCCTGCCGTCACCACCTTCCGTCGGAATTATCGTAGTCCCAGATTCATCTTTGGCTTGGACAATATTGTAGGTCTTACGCATAAAATTGGGATCAGTGTAACCTTTGATAATGTGTGGTGGGATCTCGGCCGTGACCGTGGCCGTGACGGTCACCTCTCCTGTCATGGACAAGACAGGGTGAAAAGCTTCGTTTTCCTTTGGTACACGAAAGCCAGTTCCCAAACATTCGCCATCGAGATAGTAAGTCACCTCAATAAAGTCGCCACTTAATACATATTCCACGATGACTCTATCTCCCGCTTTGAGAAAGGGCCCGAAGCTTGTTTTCAATGCTGCCATTCCGTTGGTTAGATTCCCATTGTAAAGCATACCTTTGGTTCCATAACCAACCTTCAAATTTGATAGCTTGGCAACTCCAACGCTCAAGCTGGATCCTTTGGTCTTTTCGTCCACAAGAACTTCTAGAAAGAATGAATTTGCTGGTGGATCCAGTTCGTACAAGAAATTGGAAGGCCTAGTCTTCGTGGTTTTCATGGCTAAAGTTTGTGTTTCTTCGCTGACATCCAAAGAGAATGTCATCTGCTTGTCACCAAAGGATGGATCATCCGAACCATCGCTCTTCCATTGGCCAGCTAGTACTGACATTTTGTAATTGGATTTGTTTTGATTTGATTCAATCTATTGAAATGTGTGGGCTGCAGAAACAATGAAGGGTGCAGTCTACAGTACGTATCTTGTCACCATGCACGACTGCATCTGCGGTCATTTTCTTTGCGGATCGCGATATGATGATTCCCATTCGTATCTTGGTCTTTCCGTCGACGGACACTCATTTTAACTTCTAGTAGAAAATATTTTTATAGCAGGGCAGGGACAGTACCTGGTACTGTACCCCATTGGCATTATGATTCTTCCAGTATAACTGACGCTGCCTTCTTTTTCTTCTTCTTCTTTTTCGGAGTTGCTGTTTCCTCCAAAATATCCGAATCCTCCAAAAGGGCTGTGCCCGTCATCATTGACTTGGCTTTCTTGCTCTTCTTTTTCGGGGTCTTTTTCGGACTTGCCATTTCCTCCAATACATCCGTTTCCTCCAAAAGGACTGTGTCCGTCATGATTGACTTGGCCTTCTTGTTCTTTTTCGGGGTCTTTTTCGGAGTCGCCGTTTCCTCCAGCAACCCTGCACTTGCTATGGGCATCATTGACTGCCGGCTCTTTGTCGGGGTCTTTTTTGGAGTTGCCGTTTCCTCCAACAATCCTGCGTTTGCTATGGGCATCATTGACTGACGGTTCTTTGTCGGAGTCTTTTTCGGACTTGCCATTTCATCCAAAAATTCCTGATTCGTCATCATTGACTTCCTATACTTTGAAGGACTCTTTGCCATAAAATCCATTTGCTGCTGCACCATTTCACTTTTCCTTCGCCCTGTTATATCAATTTCCACCTCTTTTTCATCTTTGATTCCCGCAATGACTCCTTTGTCTAGAGTGTAATCGACATTGTACGTTGTCACCTTGACCTTTCCATACTTCTCTTCCACAGTCTTCTTCCAGTCGACTGGAATATATGATTTCTTGACATGAATAGTATCGTCATGCTTGATACCGCAATCTTTCAGAGACTTGTCTTCTTCCTCAAGCTTCTCATCATTGAATGTCATACGTTGCTTATCTTTCTCGATCCCAATCTTGTCTTGGATCAACATGGCAACATCGTGGATAATATCGTTTTCCTCCATGTAGAAGGTGTAAATCTTGCCGTTTGCTCCTCTCGTGTCATCTTGGATGTTCACCTTCATCGCTTGGGCGATGAAGACAGTGTCACCATGTTTGATACCACAGATTTTAAATGAGTCCATGTCACTACACCGTCGATCGTTGAATATCAAAATTTGGTCGTTCAAAGGAATATCTTTCATATCCTTCACCTTCTGCTTGATGCGTTGACACTTGTCACTCGGATCGACAGTCATCATGAAGGTGTCACCCTGGAAGGTCTTGACGGTAATCATCATTTGAACCAAATGGATAGTCGACTGGTGCTTGATACCATAATCCTTCAACGATGTACCAACGTCTTTATCGTAGATTAATGTCTCGTCATATGACAAAAGCTGCTTCTTCTTGGGAATCCCTACTTCATCTGCGATCATGTCCATAACCTTGCTAATTGGGAAAGTTTCCTGTGTATAAAACATATATACTTTACCGTCCCCCTTTTTGGTATCATCTTGGACATTGATCTTCATATGCTCTTCGATTATGAGTTTGTCAAGGTGCTGAATTCCGCATCCTACAAGTGTCTGATTCATATCGTCGAGACGCTTCTCGTCGAAGAATAAGACTTGGTCAATAAGAGGAATGTCAGTCATATCAAGTACTCGGTCTTTGATGCTTTGTAGCGTATCAGTCTGCTCAACTTCAAAGTCGAATTTATCGCCTTGAAATGTCTTGACGGCAACCGTCATTTGGATTGCGTGAATCGTCGTTTTGTGCTTGATACCGTAATCCTTCAATGTTGTACCCATATCTTTGATACCGATAAGCGACTCCTCGTAGGATAGAAGCTGTATTTCCTTCGGAATTCCCACTTCAGCCGATATCATCATTGCAATCTTGCTGATTGCATCACTCTCCTCTGTATAGAACAGATAAGTCTTCCCGCCCCCGTTTTTGGTATCATCTTGGACAGTAATCTTCATGTGTTCCTCGACCTTTACTGTATCCATATGATGGATTCCGCAGTCTGTAAGCGACAGGGTCTTATCACTGAGACGCTCGTCGCCGTACCACAAAATCTGATCCTTCAAAGGAATGCCCTTCATTTCCTTTATTCGATCCTTGATATCCTTCACCTTATCGGTTTTCTCCACGTCCATATTGAATTTGTCACCCTGGAATGTGTTAATTTTTATTTGCATTTGGATCGCGTGAATGGTCGACTTGTGCTTTATTCCATAATCTTTCAGTGTTGTACCCATATCTTCCTCCGAAATCAAAGATTCTTGATACGATAACAGCTGATCACCCTTGGGAATACCCACTTCATCTGCTATCATTTTTGTAATCTTGCTGATTGGATAAGTCTCTTCGGTGTAAAAGGTGTAGACCTTGCCGCCTCCATTCTTGGTATCATTTTTGACAAGAACCTTCATATGTTCCTCTATTACCAACTTGTCTAAATGTTCAATCCCACAGTCCAAAAGCGTCCTGTCTGTGTCATCGAGGCGGTTGCCATTGAACCATAAAAGTTGGTCTTTCAATGGAATGCCCTTCATTTCCAATACTCGGTCCTTGATGCTCTGTAGACTATCGGTCGGTTCGACTGACAAATCAAATGTGTCGCCTTGAAATGTTTTGATGCTGACAATCATCTGCACCAAGCGAATAGTCGACTTGTGTTTGATGCCGTAATTCTTCAGTGTTGAATCCATGTCTTTCTCAAAGATCAAAGAGTCCTCGTACGATAAGATTTGATCGTCTCTCGGAATGCCCACTTCACCGACTATCATCTCCGCAATCTTGCTAATGGGAAAAGTTTCTTCCGTGTAGAACAGGTAAGTCTTGCCACCTCCATTCTTGGTGTCATCCTGGACAATAATCTTCATATGCTCCTCGATGACAAGTTTGTCATTGTGTTCGATACCACAGTCTACAAGAGTCAGGCTTGTATCATCAAGACGGTCTCCGTTGAAGAAAACGAGTTGGTCTTTCAATGGAATTTCCTTCTTCTCCATAATTCTCTCCTTGATGCTTTGCAGTGTATCTGTTCGTTCCACGTCCATCTTGAATTTGTCACCTTGAAAAGTGTTGACTTTGATTTTCATCTGAAGCGCATGGATTTTTGACTTGTGTTCGATACCATATTCCTTCAATGACATACCCATATCCTTATCCTCGATCAAAGAATCCTTGAACGAAAGCAGCTGCGTCTCCTTCGGAATGCCCAATTCATCGACAATCATTTGCGCAATTTTGTCGATAGGATCAGTCTCTTCTGTATAGAATGTATAAACTTCACCACCACCGTTTCTCGTATCATCCTTCACGAACACCTTCATATGCTCTTCGATGACGAATTTATCCAGATGTGCAACCCCGCAATCCAAAAGTGTGGGCTTTGTATCATCCTGACGCTTATCGTCGTACCAAAGAATTTGATCTTTCATTGGAATGCCCTTCATTTCCAATACTCGGTCCTTGATGCTTTGCAGCGTATCTGTTAGTTCAACCGACAAATCGAATTCGTCTCCTTGGAATGTTGTGACGTGGACAATCATCTGGACTAAGTGAATAGTCGACTTGTGCTTGATACCATAATTCTTTAAGGTGGTTCCCATGTCCTGGTCATCGAGTAATGACTGCTGGTAAGAGAGGATTTGATCATCCCTAGAAATTCCTACTTCTTCTACTATCATCTCGGATATCTTGCTGATGGGATAAGTTTCCTCTGTGTACAATACATAAGTCTTGCCGCCTCCATTCTTGGTGTCATCTTGGACAATAACCTTCATATGTTCTTCGACCACAATTCCGTCGAGATGATAGATGCCGCAGTCCAGAAGAGTCTGGTCCATATCACCGAGGCGCTTGTTATTGAATAATGGGATTTGGTCGACCAATGGAATGCCTTTCATTTCTAATATTCTGTCCTTAATGCTTTGCAATGAATCAGTTGGTTCAACTGGCAAATCGAACGTGTCACCTTGGAATGTTTGGATATTGATCATCATTTGGACCAAATGGATAGTAGATTTGTGCTTGATTCCATAATCCTTTAACGTTGTATTCATGGAATCCTCATTGATCATTGACTCGCTATATGAGAGCAGTTGGTCGCCCTCGGGAATGCCAACTTCGTCTGCAATCATTGCCGAAATCTTGCTCATGGGATAAGTTTCTTCGGTATAGAATACGTACGTCTTACCGCCTCCATTATTAGTATCATCTTGGACGATGACCTTCATATGTTCTTCGACTTCCAGTTTGTCATTGTGCTGAATTCCACAATCTACAAGTGTCTTGTCCGTATCATCGAGGCGATCCTCAAAAAACATCAAGATTTGATCTTTCAATGGGATTCCCTTCTTTTCCATAACTCTCTCTTTGATGCTTTGTACAGTATCCGTTTGTTCAACGTCCAGCTTGAATTTGTCGCCTTGGAATGTCTTGATTCGGATCTTCATCTGTTCAAGATCCAGCATCGATTGATGCTTCAAACCACACTCCCTCAAAGTCCTGCCGTTTTTAATCAGCATTTCTCCTTCAAACGATAACAGCTGTTCGTGCATTGGAATCCCAATAACATCCACAATTGTATTCTTGATGTCCTCAATTGCGTCGGTTGCTTCGTATACAAAGGTATACATTTTTCCTTGGCCTTTGTTGGTACCATCCTTAACGAGTATTGTAAGTGGGTTCAAAACCAGAGTATCGCGATGTTTAATTCCACAGTCAGAAAGCTTGGAGTTGTTAGTGAGAGACTCGCCATCGGCAGTAAGGATGATCTCATCCAACGGAACGGCCTTTTGTTCAAATATTTGCCTTTTGATATCAGCAACTGTGTCCTTTGGTTCGACCATCAGCTCAAATATATCGCCCTTGATTGTCTTGATGAATATGGTCATGGGCTCAAGGTCGATAATTGACTTGTGCTTGATTCCATAATCGAAAAGGGTCTGCGAATTGTCATTCAGAGCCGTTTGCCCAAACAACATGTACTGATCCTTTGCTGGTATGGCTTCTTGATATTCTATCCTTTTCTTTATGTCACCGACGCTATCCAAAGGTTGCACGTTATCAACTAGGAATTTTCGCCCCGTGGTGTCGCGGACGTATATATTCATGGGCTCCTGGAACACATTTCGCTCGCCATGTATCGTAAACCGTTGGGTGTCTCTGTCGAGACCTGCTTCAGCTTCCACCTTGGCTTGGACATCACTGATTGTGTCATTTGGATCAACCTCTACTACTACTTTCTCGCCCTTGGGAGTAAATACTTGTATCCTCATAGTGGTCCTCGTAGTGGTGAGACCTACTATGATGCGTTGGCGTGTTTGTTTTTGTAATAGAGGTTTTTAATACATAGTTTTTGTCAGTCTTGGTTTGGACATTCATAGTCACCAGACTTTGGTCGAAGTGGTCAAACTATGATTCCGCGAGTGATCGACAATACCGTACCGGTATGGGGAATAGGGATACGTACCACTTTATTACTGTAGCTTCTACCGGTGTAACCAACTATATTTTTTCGATTTTGTACTTTTTTACATTCTTATATTTTTCACTATTCTTCTTCGTTTTTACTTTTTCGCTGACTTCATGCTTTCCCCTTCTACCAGTTCTGTCACTGGGTTCCTACTTGTCTTCTTTTTCCAAATCTGCTTTTTCCAACTCTGCTAGTTTCTCTTTACTCACTGCTACGTCGTCCAAGAATTCCTTCATAGACCTCCTTCCCTTCTTCGGGCTCTTCTTCGGACTCTTTGCTCTCTCCGCCATGAATTCCTTTTGCTGGTCCGCCATCTCACTTCTCCTTCGTCCTGTGACGTCAATGGTCACCTCTTTTTCGCCCTTTATACCCGCAATGACACCTTTGTCTAGCGTGTAGTCGACATTGTAGGTTGTCACCTTGACCTTTCCATACTTCTCTTCAACAGTCTTCTTCCAGTCGACTGGAATATATGATTTCTTGACATGAATCGTATCGTCGTGCTTGATACCGCAATCTTTCAGGGACTTGTCTTCTTCCTCAAGCTTCTCGTCCTTGAATGTCATGCGTTGCTTATCTTTCTCAATCCCGATCTTATTTTGGATCAACATGGCAACCATATGGATAGTGTCGTTCTCCTCCATGTAAAAGGTATACACCTTTTCATTTGCTCCTCTCGTATCATCTTGGATATTCACCTTCATTGCTTGGTTGATAAAGACAGTGTCACCATGCTTGATTCCACAGTCTTTCATCGAATCCATGTCACTGACACGTTGGTCATTGAATATCAAAATTTGGTCGTTCAAAGGAATGTCTTTCACATCCTTCACCTTTGTTTTGATTCGTCGACACTTGTCGCTTGGGTCGACAGTCATCATAAAGGCGTCGCCCTGGAAGGTCTTGACATTAATCATCATTTGGACCAAGAATATTGTTGATTTGTGCTTGATACCATAGTCCTTGAGAGTGGTGCCCAAGTCTTTGTCAAAGATCAACGAGTCGGCATACGACAATAACTGCTTCTTCTGAGGAATTCCCACTTCTTCCGCAATCATATCCGTGATTTTGCTGATGCTGAATGTCTCTTCAGTGTAAAAGGTGTATACCTTGCCGCCTCCATTCTTGGTGTCATCCTGAACGAACACCTTCATGTGTTCTTCGACTGTCATTGTGTCCAAGTGTTGGATTCCACAATCCGCTAGCGACTTGTTTGGATCATTAAGACGCTCGTCATTGAACAGTATGATTTGATCTTTCAATGGAATTTCCTTCATTTCCGTGATTCGATCCTTGATGCTCTGTACCGTATCCGTTGGCTCAACTGCCAAGGGGAAGGTGTCGCCTTGGAATGTTTTGATATTGACGATCATCGGCACCAAGTGAATAGTTGTCTTGTGTTTGATACCATAATCCTTCAACGTGGTAGCCACATCCTTTTCGATGATAAATCGTTCTTCATAGGATAAGAGTTGTTTTTCCTTGGGCATGCCAACTTCGTCGGCAATCATATCCATGACCCGACTGATTGGGTATGTCTCTTCGGTATACAATGTGTATACCTTACCACCTCCCTCCTTGGTATCATCCTGTACAAGTACCTTCATGTGCTCCTCTACCACTAGTTTATCGAGATGATGAATGCCACAGTCGAACAGTGTCATATCGATATCCTTCAGTTGCTCGCCAGTGGGGGACTCAACATCCCCTTTTAGTGGGAGTTTTTTACCATTGAACAGCAAGATTTGATCTTTCATAGGAATGCCCTTCTTTTCCATAATTTTCTCCTTGATATCCTCAATAGTATCGGTTTGTTCGACGTCCATCTTGAACTTGTCGCCATTGAACGTGCTGACTTTGATTTTCATCTGTTCCAGATCGACCGTCGACTCATGCTTGAGATTGCATTCTCTTAATGTCTTGCCAGGCTCCACTAGCATCTCGCCTTGAAAGAATAGAAGTTGCTCTTGTACCGGAATCCCAATTTTACTGCTGCTAGCAATGATCTTCTTGATGGCCTCGACTTTGTCGGTCGGCTCGAATTCAAAGGTATGCACCTTGCCTTTTCCCCTGTTGGTGCCATTCTTGACATGTATTTTGATTTTCTCGAGATTCAAGGTATCTCTATGCCGAACTCCGCATTCGGAAAGTTTGGATTCATCTTTGATGCTTTCTCCATTGAATGTCAGTATGATTTCATCAAGTGGAATCTTCTTGGTCTCATTAATTTGCTTCTTGACATCCGCGACTGTGTCATTTGGATCGACAACCAACTCAAAGACTTCACCCTTGGTAGTCTTAATATTGATCTTCATTGGCTCCAGATCGAGCCATGCTCTATGCTTAATCCCGTAGTCGAAAAGTTTTTTTGTCCCGTCGTTGAGTGGGGTTTCGCCAAACAAGAGGTATTGATCATCTGCAGGAATGTTTTCTTGAGCCTCCAGTCTTTTCTTGATATCATCGATGCTATCCAGAGGTTCAACATTGTCAATAAGGAATTTACTTCCCTTGCTATCCCGAATGTAGATCTTCATGGGTTCCAAGAACACATTTCGGTCGCCATGTATCGTAAATCGTTGGGTCTCTTTTTCGAGACCCGTTTCGGTCTCGACCTGTGCCATCACATCCTTGATGGAAGAGTTCGGGTCCACATCCACTTCCACCTTCTTTCCTCGAGGATCAAAGACTTGTATCCGTATCATTATAGTGTAAGACTCTTCAGTGTATTGTGCTTATTGGAAAGGTGATTTTTTGTCAAAGTGTATGTTTGTTACTTGTCACTGTTATTGTCGTATCACAATTCACCTAAAATCACCTCGCCGAATACTTGCCAAAAGACCCAAGACTCCGGGTTCCTATGCCAGTTTGGATGTCCTTCACCTGTCACGCTTTGATCACAATAATGGATACGGATTCGCTTTTCCAATTTCAATTGGAAGTGATGGGAGTCCCATCTACTTCCATGTCCAGTGAAAGCCGTGCAACATATATATGATGTGAACGAATGGAATATTGCGATCAACAAAAGTAGCGGTGCCGATTTAGGCACGATCGACCAAAGCACCAATTGGATGATGATTGGTCCATAAAATCCATCAATCACAAAAGCTTTCTTGTCAAAACAATAATATTACTACAATTTTTTTACCAAGTAATGATGTCAAGCAATGAGAAACTCCACGACATCGACTTGAAAGCGGAAAAAGAACAGGAAGCATCATCATCATTAACGTCCTCACTACTACCATACTCCTCCCAACAATCCGAATGGTGGTTTCCCATTTGGTGGGCTCACAACCGAATGAGATGGTCCCATCTTTCTGCATGCTTGCGACTGCCCGTGTTTCCGGCCTGTTTGGGAGCAAGGCTTCCAAGCACAACTATTGGACAAGCGTTACTTTATACCATCATCTTGCTCCAACTACCTGTTGCTTTGTATTACTCCTTGGTCATGGAGAGTGGTGGCGAGGATGTTGTGGAAGGTTCTGGAGGTCTTGCCCAAGTCTCACTTTTGGTAGCCTTTGGTCTGGGACAAAAACAAATTGCTTCCGTGGCAATTTACTTGTTCGGACTCAGCTTTGATCGCATGATTCCCTTTCACAAGATTGCATCCATTATCGCTGTAGCAGTGGCAACCTTGCATGGATGGATGGCCTATGCGAATCGATTCGATCTCGATGGGGATTCCGGCGATGCGGCCCCCGATATTGCAGCTGCTGCGAATGCAGGTGAGCCAATGACATTGAGCAGTGTGGTGGAATGGTTCATCACTGGGTCGGACAACTGGTCGGGAACCTATCTGACTCTAGCCATGGCGCTCTTGACTGTCACCAGTATGTTTGCCATCCTACGTCGCAAAACATACTACTTTTGGCTGTTATCCCATATCCTGTTCAGTGTGGCACTTCTTGTAATGGGGATAATTCACTTTGGAGTCTCGGTGCCGTTGGTCATTGCATGGGCTGCGGATGTCTTATATCGATATGCCTACAAGGCAGGCTGGAGGTATCCCCACAAGGGAACCGTCAAGCAACTTAGTGAAACTGGAATTGTCCGCCTCTCTTGGCCAAAGACAAGTTCCTTCTTTTATCAACCTGGGCAGTTTGTCAAGATTGGGCTCCCATTCGCGGATAAGCTTGTCTTTCATCCATTGTCAATCGCCTCCGCTCCTGAAGTGGATGAGGATGAAGTGGTAGCCTACGTTCGCGCGTCAGGTCCATGGACTAATCGCCTGCTCGAATATTCCATACTGTCGTCATCCAATAAGACAAGCAGTAGGGACGTTTCCTCGGGAAGTCCTGACGCTACAAAAGATGTGCGATTGTTTGTGGAAGGTCCGTACGGATCCATGGGAATTGACCTGTATGCACCAGAGCGGAAGCATGTAGTCTTGTGCATTGGCGGTGGAGTCGGCGGTTCCACTTGTCTCAGCATCGCAAAGTGGCTGCTAACAAAGGACAAGGTCGCCAAGCTTCGCTTTGTGTGGTCTGTTCGCGAATGGGAGCTCGTCAAAGATGCGTTGCCAGATGCTTTGTGGCACAACCATTCTGCAAGCACAGTTGCTATCAGCAAGCCAAATTCGAAGTTTGCCCCATCACAGCTCCTAGAAAGCACACAAAGCGTCAAGGATGAAGAGAACCAGAGAAGCAAAAGAAACTTGAACAATGGCAGAAGCGGGCGATTGGTCGAGACAGACCTGTATTTGACATCCGTACCGGCTGATTCACCACCCTCGGAAAAAACTCCAACTGCGACTGTGTTTCATGGCAAAAGACCACAATGGGACCAAATCTTTGAGCAAACTCGAAAGGATGCCTTTCGATTGGGATATTCTCGAGTTTCGGTGGTTTGCTGTGGACCGATGATTGAAGAGATACAGCATGCTTGCCGGAAGTACTCTTGCAGCGATGGCGATGACGTCCGTGTCACCTTTGATTTGCACGAGGAAAGTTTCGAGCTCTAGGGGAGTAGTGCCAATCGTGATAATCTATAGTTTTCAGGTTAACAGTACATGATACCTATGATATTGTTTAGTGGTGGAACAGACCGAAGGACGGAGGTCTTTGATATGTAGTGTAATACAGTACCTCCTTGTAGTAGCCTACCACTGCAGTAACAAGGATCAGTTGCGCGCTGGCACAATTTGTACAGTGAATGGCTGCAAAAGAGACGGCTCTAGTCGGTTTGTAAGATTATGCAAAAATCACCAAAAGAATACAACACCTGGGATTCCAACGTGGTCCCCCACCGTAGTACTAACCAGGCCCGAACATGCTTAACTTCGCTGAGCGGACGGGAAGCGGTGCTGTCATGTTGGTATGGTCGTATCCAACAAGACTGCCGTTTCTTTGTTATGCAAAATGTGTATTTTATGTGATGCCGGAGGATTTGATGATGATGAAGGACGACCTGAATCAAACACTTCATTTTGGTTGAGGGCGCATTACCTCATCACTAACCAACCTATGCAAGGAAGTGCTGCTACCTGGATCATCACCTCTCTTTCAAACACAACTTGAAAGCATAGAGATGAAGTCGCAAAATGGTCTTCATCTTCGCGAAGAGGCTTTGGGTAAGTTTCCACCAAGCATCTGGAGTGACGTGTTGATAAGAATAATGAGTTCCACAATATGAATCTTCAGAGAACTCATATTTTTTCCCTTGTTTCAAAGCTGGTTTGAGCGCTGGAATAATCGGGACAGTCATTGGCTTCCCCTTTGATTTGGTGAAGACTCGGATGCAGACTGGAAGTACAAGTCAAACCTCCATTTTCAAAGTCGGCCGAAACGTTGTGAGAAAGGAAGGGATGCTCGCACTTTACAAAGGATTGTGGCCACCTCTCATCTCCATTTCCATCCTGACCACGATAACCTTTCCGCAATATGCGTTTTGGAGACAACTGTATGGTGCCAAGCCTGGATGGGATTATCGAAATAGTCTGGCTGGGATCTCTTGTGGCCCCATTGGTGGCATCTTTTCGACGGTTGAAAACCTTGTCAAGGTGAGTGCGCCAAGATATCGGGTCGTTTTGGCAACATCGGAACGCTATACTCACCGCAATACTCACGCTTGATCTATTTGAACGACTGCGTCATATAATGATTGTAGACTCAAATGCAACTGGACAACATCACAAAGAAGCAATACACGTCATCGTATCACTGTGTCAAGACACTCATACAAGAACATGGAGTTGGTGTTATTTACACGGGACACACCATCAACACTTTGTGGCAGGTTATATTCCTTGCAAATTATTTCTTTGTATATGAAGGAGTTAGAGAAGAGCTATCAAAATCGTCCTTTGGAAACCTTCAAATGGCTGTACCAATTGCTGGAGGATGTGCTGGTGCTTCGGCGTGGGGATTAAGCTTTCCAGTCGATTCTGTTCGAGCGGGAGTGCAACGTCAATCGTTACCACCTAAGGATGGATTTCAGAAGGTGTTTTCGACGCTGATGAAAGAGCGTGGGATTATGGCGTTATACTCTGGAGCTAGGGTTTCCATTTATCGCGCCTTCCTTGTGAGCAGCATCCGCTTCAGCGTTTACGAGGGGGCATTGTGGCTCTTTGGAGTAGGACGAAACAGCCAGATCCATGGCGACTAGTGGAACGCATGAATACTCTAGGTTGCAGAAAAGCAGAAATCACCACCCTTGCATCCAAATAAACAGAGGACCGGAACTCTCTGAATCTCGGAGTCTCCAAAGCATCATGTTCGTCGAAATCCTTCTCCAAAGAACACACACCGATGCGCTGATGTGGATCAGCTGTTTCGAGAGCGACCGCAAGCTTAACGAGCTCCATTACAATCCTCGTCCCAAGCAGAAGATAACTTCAAGATAGCGGTGCGTGGGGTTGGCAATGAAGATGGCGGAATGAATCATTGTTTCTGCTCAGACTCCGCCAAGGTGATACCATCGCGGTGACTCAATCGAGATCTTAATCTATTTTTCCACGGCTTTTGCAGTGAACTACGTACGCTACGCACTTTCGATATTATCCAATGACATTGTTGTACGTACCCATACGGTACATAATGGATTAGGATTGTTCTACTACAGCACGAATTACTTTGAATTAATACAATCTCTAAATTATAGAAAAGACAGTTCATTCAAAGTCCTCAAGAAGATAAATGAACGCCCATCTCCACAAACCAATTTGAATAATTATCCTTCTGAGCCCGGCCAAAAACTTCTAGATGGTTCAATATGGGGCAGCTGTGTCCACAGTTTTGATGAGTAAACTTATTACGGGGTAAAAATGGTAGCAAGAAGATCATTGGTTAGAACAATGTTCATTGTCATGAAAAGGGAAACGTCATCAGTAAATTTACCTTGACGGTGCTGGAGGCTCCAAGATAACGCTTCGAATCGACATGGAGCAGCTGAAACATTTCTTCTCGCTTCCAATGTCCAGAATTGCAAATCAACTTCCAATCATCTCCATTGTCTCCCATTCCATCGCCTTCACCATAACCAGAAACTTCTTGCTGCCTTGACAAAGGTGATCGCACGTCGTGGGAATGCAAGTTCCGCAAGCTGTTGAGATGAGTCAACCTTAGAATGCTGCCGCATTGGATCTTCTCGGCAGGTTTACCAGATTTGCACGCCACGATTTCGTTGCCACGACTTTCGGGGTCGTTTGGTCCACGGATCCACCAGAGAGCGGTTGTCACTGTCGGATTTGCTACGGCAGTCACAATTTGCTGACCACTTCCACTTCCTAGTTGCTTTCCTGTTTCACTACTCAAGAAATGTTCTTTCTTAGTCTGAGCTTTTGATTCGTAGTGACTGAGCTTAACAGCAGAACCACATGTGACAAACTCTTCATCATCGTCTTTGTAGCAGTTGTTAAAAGCGGCACATCCGAAAGAGTGAGAAACCTGTTGCTGGATCCTCACAATTGCATAAATCAGGCAAGATGCCAGCCTTTATCGTTCCACAAAAGTGAAAACCCGCACATATTCCACGCATAAGATCCTACCTGCAAAAGCAATTGTGAATAAACAGAGTGTAACCAAAAGAATAGCTGAAAATCTAACCATTCTTCCTGCTTTCGTCTTCCAACTTGCGTCCGGTTTTCATAGTGAGAAAGATTACGATCGAAAAATGACGACACGATGACTTGTCTGGCGATGCAAGACGATCCAGTGTTGGTCGAACAAGTCAAACTACTAACTAGGAGGATGCATGCAGATTCAAATCAAAAGTTTTAAAAATCAATGGAAGTCCTCAAGAAGACAGATGAACACCCATCTCCACAGACCAATTCGCATAATTGTCCTTTTGAGCCCGGCCAAAAACTTCTAGATGGTTCAATATGGGACAGTTGTGTCCACAGTTTTGATGAGTAAACTGATGAACGAGAACGAGGTAAAAAAAGTAGTTAGAAGATCATTCGTTAGAACAACGATCATAGTCATGAATAGGATAACGTCATCATTGAAAAACGAACACATAGAAATTTACCTTGACGGTGCTGGAGGCTCCAAGATAACGCTTCGAATCGACATGGAGCAGCTGAAACATTTCTCCTCGCTTCCAATGTCCAGAATTGCAAATCAATTTCCAATCATCTCCATTGTCTCCCACTCCATCGCCTTGCCCGTAACCAGAAACTTCTTGTTGTCTCGACAAAGGTGACCGCACGTCGTGGGAATGCAAGTTTCGAAGGCTGTTGAGATGAGTCAACCTTAGAATGCTGCCACATTGGATCGTCTCGGCAGGCTTTCCAGACTTGCACGCCAAGATTTCGTTGAAACGACTTTCGGGATCGTTTGGTCCACGGATCCACCAGAGAGCGTTTGTGGTTGTCGGACTTGTCACGGCAGTCACAATTTGCTGACCACTTCCACTTCCAAGGTTCTTTCCTTCACTATTCAAAAAGTGTTCTTGCCGAGTCTGAGCTTTTGATTCGTAGTGACTGAGCTTAACAGCAGAACCGCATGTGACAAACTCTTCATCGTCGTCTTTGTAGCAGTTATTGAAAGGAGTGTATTCGAAAGAGTGAGACAGATATTGCTGTTACATCAGTGCAAATCATGTGACATGACAACCTTCCTCGTTCCACAAAACTGAAAACCCGCACATATTCCACGCATAAAATCCTACCTGCAAAAGTAACTGTGAATAAGCAGAGTGTAGCCACAAGGAGAGCTGAAAATCTAACCATTCTTCGATCTTCCGTCTTCCAACCTGGGTTCAGTCTGCAAGAAGTGAGAAAGAGATATGTACAGTATGTATTAATATTTTAATACATTATAATCATGATCGAAAAATGACGATGCGGGTAATCTGGCGATGCAAGACGCGTCTAACGAGTCAAACAAGGAGGAAACGAGAATCCCATCCAATCGGAGGATTTATCCACACACAATCGTCACTTGACAATAATGAAACCATGGTTGTTTGTCAGCTTGCTGGGGACCATCCAAATCCAATTGGCAATAGTCAAAGCTGCTGCATTTCTTTCCCCATGCTCGAATATACGCCACAGCGCTGACTATCGAAGAATACCTGGACGAGAATCCAGGAGCAAGCGTCATCAACACGTGGACATTTCAGAGACTGCTGATCGGGATCTTGGCCCCTTGGAAGAATGGGCATCCGCCTGTGGAGTTCAGCGCGCTAGTGGACTTCAATTGACTGGTGAAACGATAGATGGTGTTTTGGATGTCGCCCTCATGACCAACGAAAATCTTCCTGCAAAAAGTCCTGTCTTATTCATTCCCCAAGAAATGATACTTTCCAGCAATCAGGCGGTGCAAGAATTTGGACGGCAGGAGGAAGCAGAAAGTATTTTGTACAAAAATGGAGCGGAAACAGAGCTGCCACAATACTACTTGATGCTCAAGATTTTGTACGAATGGGAACGTGGCGACCAGAGTCCCTGGTTTCCTTATCTGAATTCATTGCCACGGTGGTTCTGCAATGGTGTCGGTATGACGGCCTTTTGTTACAAATGTATTCCTCCTCTAGTAGGTTCTCTAGCCCAAGCAGAGCGGGTGCGGCTGAACCGTTTGTCTGTCAAGAAGGTCCCTTTTTTGAGTGTGGAAACCCGCGGCAATCCCGACCTGTGGAAATGGGCGTTTCAGATTGTATCTACCCGCAGTTTCGAAGCCGACGATGGTAGTGGCGACCTGCGCATTGTCCCAATGGCGGATTTGGTCAATCATGGAACTAATGCCTCAGTTGAATACACCTACGATGCATCAGGCAACTGTCTTGTCCAAACAACCAGGGACACGCCCGCTGGGTCACCGCTTTGCATGAGCTATGCTGACCCAACCAATCCGTCGCACTTGCTGGCAAAGTATGGATTCTTGGACGAGTCATCTCCAGCCACATTCTGCAAAATCTTTGTACCACACGTCAATGACGAACTGATCAACCTTGGCTATGCATATGATCGCATGTTATTCTACAAGGAATCAGGAGACGTGTCATCCGAAGTATGGGATGTCTTGTTGTATCAAGTACTGACAGAACAAGGACAGTTGGAGCAGCGAAACGAGTTCTACCAAGCGCATCTCTGTCTCCAACAATCAGGAGATGGAAATGCGGACCAATACGAAGCCATCAAGGAGAGGATCCACGAACAATATTACTCGGAAACCAGTTCCAAATTATGGGAGCACCTAGATACCTTTCTCAACGAACTGAATGATTTGTCGTCCAAGGCATTCGGGCGAAGTTTTGACAAGCACCCCAGACTACCTCTCATTCTGAGGCATAATGAGTTTGTCAAGAATACATTCTTGGCAGTACGCCAGCGACACTTTGGTTGAACAACGAATGGAATAACGAATATTTGAATGACGACTCGGAGGCTGAGCGACAATCTGGTTCATACTGTATGTTCGCCCACAATTCACCTTGCACAGTACGCGATTGATCTGTGGCCCCTTCGTCGCTCCCGACTGATTAATCCATTCGCGTATTCGAGTGCCCTTGGTGGAAATAAGAAAGTTGTCAATTCCGACACCAAAGAATCCAAAGAATCGAAACAACGACTAAAGTCAGACGGTTTTAGAGTTCTAATTCGTAGACCTTGAATTGAATGTGCTGTTCTATTATGTATTATTAAGCTATTATACACTCATAATAGTTGCAATCGTACTACCTTCCCACGCCTAACCTGAACGCATTGCAGCCAGTTCCAAGAACAGCGAAAATGGGAGAGCAGGCCATCAAGCTGAGGCCATTTTTTTCCTAGCGTCAAAAAGTTCTATCGCAAGTCCAACTTTCGATATTCCATCTTGATTTGATGCCTGCCTGTATACTGTAAATTCATTCTATCGCCGGGAAATAGCAATACGTTGAAGGTCTCCCTGTTCCCTTTGCCTTTGAAATTGTTGAATCTGTCGTTGGACCCTACGATCCTTTCGACGTTCTCTCGCCTTGCTAGCGGATTTAACGACACTGGCACCTCCAATGCCCAAGGCGACGGCTCCGATCGGTCCCAATAAGATACTTCCCACCACAAAGCCGGCGGCACCTCCAACAAGCATGCGGCCACGACGACGAGTCCGGCGTCGGTACTTTTTGCGGAGAGGATCTTCCAATGCGGCAGCTGGTAGGACAGCTGTTTCATTGTTGTTATTGGCATTAACATTAATACCATTGTTGTCATTGCCATGGTTATTGCCATAATCGTTCGGAGAAGTATAGCCCGAATATGGTGGTGGGCTGTAAACAAAGGTAGGCCTGGCATTCTCAGAACTTTGTTGTTCTTGTTCAGTGGCAACCGTCTTTTGCTTGCTCCAGGGATCCAAGGCCGTGGCAGTCGCATGCGTTTCAGTAGCATGGGCTAACCGTGTGCTGAAAGGAGAAACATCTGCTCCTACCACTTGGGCAGTGGCATATTGGTCGTGGAACGATGGTTCCTTCGGGGCAGTCGCGGTTATTGTGCTGGAACCTACTACTGCTCCCATTGATGGTGAAGTGTAGGCACTGTTGCCATTGTCCAACAGAACAGCATTGGCACTGGGGTAGGTAGACTGGCTATTGTTCCTGGATGATGTTGCTAGAGTAGTTGACATAGGATGTGATTCTGTTTGGTTCGTGTTTTATAAGTTTTGTGTTACGGATTTTGAAGTTCATTGAGCAGCCAACATCGCGGGATTGGAGATTAGCTCGCGCACAGTTTTTGATTCGTGCCATGAATTCGTTTGTTCTAATGAGTCGATGCTGGAGTGACCAAGACGCGCGAAACACAACACAGCACAGACGTGGCAATAAAAAAGATCATCGAAAACCTCTTCAGCTAGAAAAACCCTACAGTACTGGTACCTGGTGCCTACAGTACGGTACTTCAGTAAGTGATTTTATCCATATGAAACCACTGTTATTCCTAGATGGGGTTCGTCGACTCGCCCAAAGAAATGGATATGTGGAACCATACTACAATGTGACTTCCAATGTGATTTCGTTTGTCAAGGCTGGTGAAACGAACCTTGATCGAGTGAGAATCAACCTGTACTACACCCGAACTCAATTGTAGTTCGCTCCGGCCGAAAGGTGAATATTTTGTGTCTGCGAAAAACGGCAGGGCATGGTGGGGTGGAATGACTTCAAAGTCTCTTTCCCAGGTTGGGAAGTACCAGTACAGCGATCGACTGCGATATTTGGACTTTTCATCGAACAATGGTTACGTAATGCGGTATTTAACCCAAGCCGATGTGGTGGCGTTCCTGACGTGTAAATGAATCGACAACCGTGTCATGTGCACCTTTACTCTCCAAAACATATGTTCTTCTGTGTATCATAGGGTTCTATTATGCTTGGCTACTAGTCGCCTCCATCTTTTCCACCGCCTTTTCCACTGCCACCTCCATCGCCTCCAGATCCTGAATTTCTAGGTGGTTTTTCATCGTCCTTATCTGTTGCTATGGAAGTGCTACTGCTATTGTTGTTCGTCACAATGATGGCAACTGCGACTGCACCTCCCACCAACAAGAACACCATTAACAACAATATCCACCATCTGCGATTGGTCCTGAATGATGTTCTAGGCGATCGAGTTTGGTGTTTTTCATCATCGCCAGAATCTCGATTTTCATCATCCGTTCCTGCCGGTACGGCCATGACTACATGGGCAGCTGTTTGTTCGGCAAGTAGCTCTTGCCGCAATTCTTCCTTCAGCGCTTCCTTGTCAATGGCTGATGCCATGACGACGGATTGTTCTCCCTTGCTATGTCTTCCTGAGGGCAACGTAGGTGAAGGTGGCGCTGGTCCCAAATTCTGAGATAGAGTGCTTTGCGTCCCTTCCACTTGATAGGCTCCAGGTGACCTCATACTGGAAGCGTTCGTTGGTCCACGATCTTCTTGCGCATCGTTTCGGGCCACAGCATCATCATTGGGTTGTGGATACACTGGTTTTGGGGTAGCAAACGTGTCACTGCTGTTAGGAACAGCAACTTTGGAATTTCTAGGATTGGACTTCTTGGCACTCCTAGATGCTGCCATGTCGCCGGACAAGGCCAAAATCTGTGCAGCCGATAAGGAAACTTTTGGTCCATTTTGCTGTTGATCTTGTATCGGTTCTGTTGACGGCCGTTGTGGCGGGTTCAATTTCGTCACCTGCATGGAACCAGAATTATCATCCAGCTTGGATATGTGCTCCTTGTCTTTCTCATGGTCTATCGATGGCAATGTAGACTCTGACGCCATCATTGATGAACCCTGGGAGAGTCCAGTGGCAGTAAGGGCCAGTATTCTGTCTGATGAGAGTCCCGAAAAGGCTGCTCGGGGGTCTTCATTGTCGTATGTCGGAAGATCTTCAACGGTATCGGAAGCTCTTGAAGCTTCTGAATCTTCTATTTCTATAATCATACTGGGATGTGTGTGGCACTTGATCCTACTCTTTTGGATTTGTGTTCTTGACTCTTCCTCAGTACAAACCTGGGCTGGTTGCCGGAATATTTCATCATCTTGCTGGGTCATCAGCCTTTTATCATGGTGTACACCTTGCTTCTTGCATGAGCCTTAAGTGTGGGTGATTTCGGACCGTCCCCTCTACTTTTAAGGCAATTTCAATCGACCTAAGTTCCGAATTTTAAAAGTTTCCCCTCACACAAACAAACAACTATTTTAAAAATGACCAAAATTCTACTGAGTTGCAATGCCGAAGAACATGAGAATGCACAAAAGATCCAAGCTGCAATTCGAGAACAGCTCGGGTTCGCAGTAATGATGGACGTCGAAGACTGGCAAAATCATTCGTCCAAGGAAGAGGAGATGTCGCTAACACTACTAGACAGCAATCTCGAGGCAGCCTCACTACTATTGGTCTTTCAATTCGGATACGAGAACATTTCTGCCTGGGTCATGATCGAAGAAAGTGATGAGAGAAAACGCGACGTCTCTATGAGGAATGAGTACGAGGACGAGGATGACGAGGACTACTTCCCTGAATGCGTCGACTTTTCCGAGTCTATCGCGGAAGGAATAGTAGTCTTTGAAGATATTCTCAAGCACAATCTTGGTCTAGTCTTGAGAGGACAACCAGAGAAGAAGACTGCTACTTATTGCTCGTCAGCAGACGAAGAAATATTGACAGCCGAGGTAACACTCGTCGCGCCGCTTGCTGAGGTTCAAAGCGTGGCTGCTGGTTTGAGCAAGGTGGACAAACAAGATTCTGCAGCAACCAGCAGCAGTAACATGCCAACGACGATACCTTCCGATCTACCGAAATTTCTTTTGAATGGAAGAGGAGCCGATTGTCTCATCAACAAATTCAAGCGTCGTCTGTCACTCCAATAGTAGTAGTAGTAGTGGTTGTGGTAGTAGGCTGAGGATGGCAGCAACAACCTACTAGTAGTACTAGCGCGGCTATAAATTTAAAATACAAGTGTACACCAGACACTGATTGAATTGCCCCAAGAGTGACGAATGGTTACATCGTACCTGGTACCAGGTTCTTGTACGTGTACAAACCAATTACTGGTATGCATTGTGCTTCAAGAGTATCTTCGCACCGGTAGCAAGTTTCTGTTCGCTATTTCTGCTCGATGTACTGTATGCAAGATCCAAGCGCTATGTATTTCTGTACGCACCACCGAGGGAACAGAACGCGAATGTTCTCGCTGCACGATGCGATCCTCTTCGCTTGTTCCACTCAAACTGTGATTGTTTTTATTAGAGACAACCGGTTTTCAGTATTTATGAGGTTCGTTTCCCGTCGCGCTTTAGACGCACCAGAAACTCTAGAAATGTGAACAGAAGATGTGACTGACTGCTGTGACTCAAATACTTCACGCTAACGCAATTTAATTCAGTCTTTTTTCAATTTCACCAAACATTTCATCTCACAAATCCAACAATCACAAAAATAAAACACTCAAATTGCAATCATGGTCAAGATCCTTCTAAGCTGCAACACCGACACCTACGAGTTTGCTTCTGATATCAGAGAAGATATACAGGAACAACTTGGATTCAAAGTCGCTCTCGATGTCGAAGACGAATCACAAAACGACCCTGTTGACGACGGGTTTCAAGAAGAACTCGAAGAAGCGGCAGTTGTATTAGTCTTTCAAATCGGAGACGAGAGTATTTCCGCATGGATCATGATCGAGGAAGCTGATGACAAATTCTCGGAAGAATGCAAATATGAAGAGACCATGTTTCCAGAAATCATCGACTTTTCGAAATCCTTCCAAAGAGGAATCAAAATATTGCGACACATCCTGGTGAACGATTTCGGTCTAGTCGTGAGACCGATCCAGGACAACACACAAGCGCCAACCGTTGTCCAGCACAAGCAAGTTGGGCAATTGTCCACATTACCCATCATGGATCAATTGACCAAAGGAGAACAAGAACTTGAAACCGCAAAAGCTGCCTGGTCAATGGCATCGGAAAACAAACCAGGACTAATAAAGAAATTCACCAAGCTATTTGGCAAATCCAGACGCCGATTGTCGCAATAAATTCATAAGCAAGATACAAAGTAACATATAGACATAGAATCCATGACATCATGAACAAAATATTTCTATAATACTACTAATACTAGTAAAGGATGGCCGATACAACTACCACTACTTGCTCTTAGGTTTCTTGATCAGCGGGTGGATCGTGCACAGTTGGTTGTTGCCTGTCGAATAATCCAGAGTTGCTTCGTATCGGGTACAGTATCTTGGGGGCATAGATGCTGGGTCAAGAGGCAAGATACTAGTCTTGCTTGTACTATAGTCGGAGTGTGTTCGAGTAGGGAACATAATCGTCGTCTGGACGATAATTTTGAATCTTGGCGAATCAAGCTTGTTCACTGCGACATCTAACCCAGTGTCAGTCGTTGAAATATCCAAGCCCAAGCAAGATTCTACCGGTAGGTACAGACACGTCACGTTGGGAGGTGAATCACGAAACTTTTGAGCCAAGACTCACTCACAATTTGAAAAACATTATTCTTTGTAGTACTTCACCACAACAAACATCAAACCATGACAAAGACTCTATTATGCTGTGATTATGAAGATTTCGACACTGCTCTTGATCTCAAATTCAAAATTCAAGAAGAACTTGGCTTCAAAGTCATGCTTGACGTTGAAGACTGGGGAACAACAAAACAAGCGGAGAACAAGAATACTCGTTGCAAGAGAAATGATAATCTTCGAGTTTCCCAAGAGCTTAAAAGGGCCGACGTCCTATTGGTCTTTCATTTCCATGAGTTCAACATCTCTGCCTGGGTCATCCTTGAAAATACTGACGAAATCCAACAGCAGCATCATGACAAGGCCAAGAAACAGGCTGAACGAAAAAGCTATTTCCCAGAATGCATCGACTTTTCGGACTCCTTCGCGGAAGGAATAACAATCTTTGAGAGCATCCTAAGAACTGATTATGGTCTAGTTGCAACACAATAAGACAAGATCAGTATGAGGAGCAGCCAGAACCTAGAAGAGGATGTTGTACTAGAGTACTATAGCTGCTCAGTAGTACTACTAAAAGTAGTACTAGTAGTTCCCAGAGACGACCTGCTTCAAAACAAGCGTTACACCAGCTATACACATAGAAAATACCAATAGACGGAAGTATTTATACACAATATCATCTTCTCGAACCGATAGATAGAAGTGCAAGTCTGGCCCACTAGGTCAGTCGGATAGATAGATAATTTTCTGCTTGGCAAAGTGAATTGAAGAGTTTCTCAAGAATTCTTTAGGTGGTACTCGTACACGTGTACGGTACACGTACACTTGTACGTGTACGTATTGTATAAATATATTGTTATGTCGTATACGATACTCATCCGCGATTGCTTAGATATCATTGATTGTCATGGTGTGATTGCAAAAACTGCTTTGAAAAGTGCACGCACACATGCGAGAGGTGCAAATCATGCATGGGAGATTTGAGGACAGCCAAATTGAAAATAAATACAGCTCACAAATCCAAACAACGAAAACAACAAAACCAAAACAATCACAATGGTCAAGATTCTACTTAGCTGCGATGCCGACGATTTTGATATCGCCCTTAGCCTCCAAGCCCTCATTCAAGAAGAGCTTGGATACAAAGTTATGCTTGATGTTGACGACTGGAAATATGAACAAGAAAATGAAAACCAAAGCTTAGCTTTCGCAGATGACTTCGACAACAAGCTCGAAGGCGCAGCGGTTCTACTAGTTTTCGAATTCGGTGAATCGAGCGTCTCTGCATGGGTCATGCTTGAAGAAACCGATGAGAGAAACACTCGCAAGGCGAATCCAAGGAAGAGCTTCTTCCCAGAATCCGTCAATTTTGAACCCTCTTTCACACGAGGACTTCGCATCTTTGAGCAAATTTTGAAGAGTGACTTCGGTCTCGTCATAAGACCACGCTGCGACTACATCAAATCCTTAAAACAGTAAACATTGGACACGACGAACAGTTATGATAAAAGAGACACGATGCAGCTTCACTACCTTTGGGTACACCTCATATTGCGAGTTCGGTCATCTCGTGAGACCGCACCCAATACGAGCTTTCGCAGAGGCAATTAGGTCAAATGGTGAGGCAGTCCCAATACTAGCAGTCAACGACAACGCAAGGCTTGTAGTCGATTGGCCGCTATCACGCTCGCCTCGCTCAAGGGACCATAGGCCTATGGTTGAGAAACGACGAATGGCAATCAGCAATATTGTTGGCAGGATTAGGCTCGGAAACGACTTATAACACTGTAAGATGAAATTCAAGTATCTACCCTCCTACCTGCCCTGTGCTCTAATTTGGCTATAAAACGACATTGCTTAAAAGCAGAAATAGGTCAAAATGTTTGGGCCTTGTTTAGTCTAACGAGTTTAGTAATGTATCGGTAGGCAGTCCCATAGTGCTGTCGAATCAAGATGTCCACGAACCTTTTGCTCTAATTCAATCCAGCAACCGACCATTGGATCTCCGTTTCCTAAG